GTACAGCACTGAAAAGCAAAGCACACAGACATATAGCACAACCATAGCGCACAAAGGCCATTGCTCTTCTTGTGATTGAGTTGGGTGTTACATCGCTTTCAGCAATATTCTAGCGATATCACGGCAGGGGACACCTGAACTGAGCTTCACACATAGTGCCCATGTAGGGAATCGAACCTGGATCTTCAGCGTGACAAGTGAACGCTTTAACCCCTGGGCTGCTCCACTTCTAGGCATCTCACTGAACAAGGCCTTGTGACTTCTACCAAGACATAAATAGACTTAGAGCTGGGACTCACAGTGACCACCACGCCTAGCATCTAGAGCTGACTGGGCATCTCATACCTCACTATGAAGCATCCAAACCTCACTATAACGCATCTCATACCTCACTATAAAGCATCTCAAACCTCACTATAAAGCATCTCAAACCTCACTATAAAGCATCTCATACCTCACTATAAAGCATCTCATACCTCACTATAAAGCATCTCAAACCTCACTATAAAGCATCTCAAACCTCACTATAAAGCATCTCAAACCTCACTATAAAGCATCTCATACCTCACTATAAAGCATCTCATACCTCACCATACAGTTCCTGACCTGATGACAGTCACACATAAAAACTCATTTAATCATTCAAAAATAATTACATATCACAAACAATACTAACTTGTGACTCTGTGAGCTTGTTTGTATAAACAACATATACAATAGTACAAAGTTGCTGTGTCAATCATTGTGAGCATTTGACATGACCTTTGAACAAAACAAACTTTCCTTCAGAATGCACAACAAACTATACTGGACAAAATAAGTTAGGGATATTGGTATTTTTATGATTGATATTTTATCAGAGTGTCATTGAATAAATAGATCATTATTCATAATTTCAAAAGTTACATATATCCCTAACTATTTTTGTCCAGTATATATGAAAACAATTCCAATTCTAAATATTAGCTTTTGACATGATGTTCAAACTTTCAGATTAGTTTGGTTATTTTAACCTGAAAGCAATGATCATTTATTAGATTTAGACAATACATGTCAATTTCATTAACAAAAGAAATGAGACCCGATGTTTACATGTTGGTTTACATGTTGGTTTACATGTTTACATGTTGCTAATTCAGCCACTGTTCCACATGACCTTGGTGGGTCATCTCTGCTGGTCCTGTCTGTTCGAAGGTTGCATGCTTGATATGTACAACATCTATATACAATGGTGTTATGTATTCAAGTGATCTAATCAATACAAAGGCTTGATCACAGGCTTCAGGCTTTCTCAGCATTTGTAGCATAATTGCATGAATATTTCATTGCATGGTGTACGAGGGAAAGTCAAAAGATGTCGGCCTGACCTAGTACAATCGCTTGTTAAAGTGATTCCCCTTCATGTTTACTGAAACAGCTTGTTTTGGAGACACTACCCACCCCTTTCAGACAATGAAATCTCTTATTCTAAATGTTTTTCATTCTAAGGTTCAAAGTAAATACTGAATGGTCACACAAGTGTCAACTCTCAGTATATTTTAAACAGGGCCGGCTTGAATATCTGGACACAATGTTTTTGAAAGACTAAAATGGGGGCGCCCTTAAAAGAAACAGCCCCGACTAAATATGAATCAAGCAATCCAAAGCTTTGACTCTTGATTATGACGGAAGTCATCCAATACTATACTAACATATTTTATATGACATTATCTGAGGGCATACCATTATCCAAGAGGTACTAAATGACGGATCGTTTTTCATTTTCTGCATTCATTCTGGAAATATTATACCCGATGTGTTGTGATGACTAATATCTCGTTAATCACATTACCCACATATGTGAATATTTTTATACGGCTTTGCTAATGATTCCTACAAACTAAAATGGCAGCTTTTCAAACATTGGACATCGAGAATATAGTTAGGCCGACTACCTTTGACCGACCCTCGATATGTACATCTATATAGCACAGTTTATGAATACACTTGCATATCACATCTTCACGACTAGGATAAACACATCAGAAGAAGAATCATGTTTCCAGAATGTTTCTAACGCTATTTAAGTTAGCTAAGTTCATTTATGAGCAGGAGAGCCTAATGTTTATCAGGTCGAAGCCAAATGTTAGGCAGAGTGAGCAGGCTGAAACCCAATGTTGAAACCCAATCTGGCAGGCTGAAACCCAATGTAAAGCAGGGTGAAACCTAATGTTATGCAGGGTGAAACCCAATCTCAGGCAGGGTGAAACCTAATGTAAAGCAGGGTGAAACCCAATCTCATTCAGGGTGAAACCCAATGTAAAGCAGGGTGAAACCCTAATGTTATGCAGGGTGAAACCTAATCTAATGCAGGGTGAAACCCAATGTAATGGGTCAGAATGTTATGCAGGGTGAAGCCCAATGTCAGGCAGGGTGAGTATTCTAATAAAATCAGAGCTTGAGGAATAGCAAATGAATATCACAATTTATACCTGTTGGAGAATTGAACCCACAAGTCAGTTTGAAAAGTCCACCTCTAAGCATAATACTGCTCAACTAATCTCCTACCTTGAATATCACCGTGGTTACAAGAGAGGCTGTTTACTAGCAGCTTGTAACATTTTGCTGTTCATTCAAAAATTGACATAGAGTCAGCAAAGACTTTCTATAACATACATACAGTCAGCGGCCATACCAAAATAAGAAGACCCAGAACATCTTTTGTGCATTTAATGCAACAAAATATACTGATTACGTAAAGCATGCTATACAAAAATGTTGTAATGCTGAAACTAATAGATGTTCACATATGTTATACAACTCTTGCAGAACAGCAGATGTATTCTCCTACATATGCCCATACTTCATCTGTATAGCAGTGATTTGTTATACAAACCGTACTTCACAACAAAGGCTTATACATCTCTGAGTGGAGTAATAAACAGTATACATTTAATAGGTTGTCTCAGTCAGTATGATCCGATTTTTGTTTGGGAGATAACATAAAGGTCTTCATACCTATGTGGTCACACCTTAGGCTAGTGAGTTTGTTCAAGACTGCCTCTGTTCACCTAGCACAAAATGGGTACCCGGTGGTGTAGGTCATATGACAAAAAAACGTGACAAAGTAAAGTCTTCAGCCGTCAGTGCAATCCTCTAATACACCTACAGAAATATTTTCACAATACTGTCCATGGATTAAATATGACATACTGAATATCTTGAAACTCTAGCAATTGTGAAATTAATCAATACATGCTATGTCTCAATACTGACCGATGACAAGAGGTCCTCCCTTCGTACCTCTTCAGGTAAACAAACAGGTAATAACAAACTTGGTAAAAAAAATAAGTGAAATTTGCAAAACAACATCACTAGCCCTGATGATTTACCCTTTGAATTGAGTTTCCTGCTATGTTGGACATTGTTCTAGAGGCAGATAATAAGATATTAATATCATAATGTGAACTATGACAGAAATAGCAACAAGCTGTTCACACATCTGGTCCTCATGGCGATTCATGTAAGAAATACAATTCCTAAAAATAATCTCTGGAGCTGTTATTTAACAAGATATAATGTATCTTGATGATATATTATCAGCCTCAGTTTTCACTAGATATACAATATACATAAAAATAAGGGCATGAACAAAACACATTGTTATATTTGATTGCTATTGCCAGATATTTGTTACGTTTGGAATAGTCTGACAAATCACAGGCATTGTGAGAAAACATTATGTTGATATGTTACAGCTTATGAGTCAAAGCATGGCATGTATGAAAAATAATATCTATTCTCTGTCAAATAAGATTTGTTTCAAGGCATTCACAGCAATAGTCTGATAATGTTTGCTGTAAATAATGTGGAGCGGGTGCAATCCTCCCATCAGATCACACACAAGTGTTTGGCAAAATTAATGTAAAGAATATTAAACATAATACAGGACGTCAAGTACAATACTAACAATAACTATCTATTCCACATCATGGTGCTCTGCGTAGCAGTTTCAACAACATCCATTGTCTGAGTTCAGATGTCCTCTAAGTCCACATCACTAAGTAGTCCTGATGTAGTGTAGTGCACTGGCCAGCACAGCAGGAACATCAGTCTGTAATCCATTGCCTAAGTCCTGATGTAGTGTAGTGCACTGGCCAGCACAGCAGTAACATCAGCCTGTAATCCATTGTCTAAGGTCCGACTGTCTGTGACAGGAAGCAGGTGCCCAATAATCCATTGTCTTAAGTCTGAAGATCTGTGACGGAACTATGGACATGTGATCCACTAACCGTGTGACATGCCAGGTGACTTGTTTTTTAATTGTTTATCAATCAGCCTTACTAGGGACGGATATCCTAACAAAACTTGATCACAGAGTTTCATACAGGGCTATGTCTAGCATGACATGAATGACAGCTATATAGCTAGGAGACCTGTGGCCTGCTGTCTTGTGACAGTGGTCCACTGATGTCGAAATTTCCCATGTGAATGATGCATGTTGGTTCAATAATGCATGACAGCAGAGACCATATAATAGATCTATTATATGGTCTCTGATGACAGCAATATGATTAAAGACACTAGTCAAATCTCTTATACTTCATGACCTAAAACGTTTTCTGAAACCACAGCTTGCAGACATCATGGAATCTACAACACAGTTGATCTGAAAATTTCTATTCTAGAGTTGCTATAACTGAACACTAGACGCCTGAGACATGCATGTCCATATAGGTGATAATAGACATATCAACCATTTCGTCGGTCCCAAAACCACTGCTATAACCTCTACGTATGATGTTCAGTAACAGAGGCCAATCACCCATCAGCATCACTCAGATCAGTGTTGTATAATATATATACATCACCATCCCCCTGTTGTTCATTGAATTAATTAACCTGTGAGCTGTATACTGATGTTTATCAACATATCATGGCCAGATTACTATATTATATACTTCAACCAACTTAAATTTGAATCAATAGTTGCAACTGCAAATGCACTTGTCATAGGTCGGTCCAACAGAAATTATGCTTTATATACACAAAAATGATTCTTATCATACAAAAGACATTGTACATGTTTTTCAGACTGTTACATCAACTTCAATAAAAACTATTCACAAAAAACAATAAAGATTTGCCCTTAAAAGTTATTTCATAATAATATCGTGAACATCAATCAAGAATTTAGTGTTTTTGTCATAGACCTGCAACAAGTCCAGATCTTGGATCTTACACTTGACAAATTTGCCCTGAAAATTTATACCACAAAAACTGGTTTGGCCTCACCACTGGACATAACACCAGGTGAACACAAGACCATGTGACCTGAAGATGATTCTGATGAAATCCTAGCAACACTCAGTAGATTACCATCAGCTGACCTCTGACCCAAGAGAAAACGGGAATTTCACTTGATGAATGTCAAGGTCATTCTTCAACCTTTTTCTGTTTGCAGTACAGCTACGACCGGCAGAGATATGACTTCGTATCAACCCAGCAATACCCAGAAGTAAGTTTGGGATGAAAAATGTTACATCCCCACAAGCTAACATTATAACATTTTCTGTGTTTTATGCAGAAGTCAGGCACCCTCTTCACCATGCAAGGTTCTATCTGAAAGCTGAGTATTCTTCATCATCAAACAGTACATCAATAGCACTATAAACATATCACATTTGTTTGTAAGCCCCTGTAGGTTTGACTTCCAGCATTTGCTGGTGAGGCAGAAGATGATCGCTGTGGAGACGTCAGGTGTCACAGTGCAGTTCTCTCGTTGTAAACTACGATAGCTTCGTTGTGTATGAGCGAGTCGGTGTCGTCGGATGCTATTGCTAGGTTACCACTGCTCCTCATGATGGCTATAGCCGCAGCGCTCTCGCTGCGCATCCTGTTCTTGCGCTGACTCCTCTCCGTCTGAAAGGGTGAGTGAGTGAGTTTATTTTTATGCTGCTTTTAGCAATATTCTAGCAATATCATGACAGGGGGGACACCAGAAATGGGTTTTACACATTGTACCGTGGGGAATCAAACCCAGGCCTTCAGCTTGATGAGCAAAAGCTTTCACCATTAGGCTAACCCACCAACCCATCTGAAAGAATTACCAGTAGAATTCTATTGGTGGCCTTAATGAAAGACTGTATAATTAGGCCAATAATGTACAAACTCATTCTTCGGTAAATTCAAGGTGACATCATATACATGCACATATGTCACATATGGTATCTCTCACTTTACCAGTCGTCATATGAGCGAAATATTGTCAAGCACGACGTTAAACCCAATTTCACCTCACCTCACTTTACCATTCCCTCGAAATCTAGAAAAGGTGATGTACTATAACAGGGCACTTAGTTTTAACCATGGTATAATCTGTTTGTTTGCAATATTCCATGTATCAACAAAAGCACTGAACCTAATCATCAAGTCCATTTTGCCTCTTAAGAAAAATATAGGTTTGTTGGATCCAGTATTCTCAACTGGAATCCCTGCAGGAATACATTTATGAAATGGGAAGTATTTACTGTAGGTGTACATAATACATGAACGTGTCAAGTGACAGTTACAAGTCTTCTCACCTCTGAATACACCTGGTCTGCTGTCATCGATGGAATGCCATGTCGGGGGAGTGTCGCCGACATACGCTCATCAAAATAGGACGGGTTCTCAAAGCCTGAACCTGAATACAAACACAGAAGCTCAAATCTGGGAATGTCAAAATATTCTTCCATTATGTAAATGAGTGAGAATTCAGGAATTGGCACCGTTTAAAGAAATATTAGACATTTACTCTAGATAAAACTACTGTGAAGGAATGTTGTTTAATGTCAGACGACCCGTGAAGATCCAAGTTAGAATATTGATCTTCAGTAACCCATGCTTGTCGTAAGAGGCGACTAATGGGATCGGGTGGTCAGGCTCGCTGACTTGGTTGACACATGTCATCGGTTCCCAATTGTGTAGATCGATGCTCATGCTGTTGATCACTGGATTGACTTGATTATTTACAGACTGCCGCCATATAGCTGGGATATTGCTGAGTGCTGCGGAAAACTCAATCACTCACTCACTAACTTTATGCCAGACACAACAGCCATATCTCAACATTGTCCCGGTAATTAAAAGAATTTTAGGACAGACCAACCAGAGGCAGAATATGATCCATGTCATGAGGATATTGACACAAACCACACATCATTTGGCACACAGTCAATTGGTTCCCATGACATACATGGGCTTCAGGATGCTTCACAATAAAATATAAAAAAATACAAGATCACAATATGATGATCTTTGCTACAACTTGGATTCAAACCTGGATTCATCATCCTGACAAGTGAACACGCTAACCACCATGCCAGCTCTCTGACGGAAGTATCTCTGACACTGTTCTTGAGCAACAAGTCAAATGTTTCAGAACTTGAAGCCATAACCTAACCAATTTAATGTTTACGCAATCAAATCTGAACCAGACAATTCAGTGACTGACTTCATGACACACGACCAACCAAGTCTGACAGCTTGACCATTGGTCAGGTCCCATTCATTTTAGCAGGGGGAGAACAGGTCAGATCGGTGTATTCACTTCCTGGTCACTGGACCGTATCATGTTGTTTTACACCCAACCATTTAGTTGATTCTCATGACCAGCACTGGTTGCTGGAAACCAATTCTAACCTCAAAGAGAATATATTATTTAGAGTACAGATATTACTGCATACTTATCCTGACTCATTCTATTTGTTTCTACAGTGGAAACATTCTGTGTTATCTGCCCCGAACAGACCCGTCCACCGTACATGCACACCAGCCCCCCACATGACTGGACTCGTTTTGGGGGAACACAACCCAGAATGTTTCACTGTATCTCAGGTTAAGGGAGAAATAGTCAAAGGACAAATCCAAGTTTTATAAGTCGGTGGAAGCTGTACCTGAGGAGATAGCAAACACGGAATCGCCTGATATGCTGTTGCGTAAACTACGGAAGAAGCTGCCTGACTTCTTGTCGGATCCTGTTGATGGAGGAGGAGGATCCTGGAAACAAGAAGGTTAAGTCTAGTGTTATTGGTAAGATCTCAGTCACCCATGAGTATCCAGAGCATATCATCATCAAGTTTTATGGATAACAACTTCTTTATTTCGTGAGTGCGACGTTTCGATACAGATTCTTGTACCGTTGTCAAGCAAGAGTGATACATGAAGTGGAGGAGCTGCATATATATAGTGTATATAACAATGAAGCTACATACATTGTAATTGACAAAGGAAACAACATAATTGCCATAATTGGTTAAGCAGTTAGCTGATGAAGCCAGTGAGTACACAAAGGATAGTGAATGGAAGCCAGAGATGTATAAATACAGGAGTGGTACAATGAAGGGGATGTTTATACAATAGGTGCGATGTTTATACAATAGATTGGGCTTGGTGGAGGAGTGGATCATAAGCTGATGGAATGAAGTATCCTTGGTCACGGTTGATGGTGGGCTTATGCTTAACCAATTATGGCAATTATGTTGTTTCCTTTGTCAATTACAATGTATGTAGTTTCATTGTTATACACAGTATAAATATGCAGCTCCTCCACTTCATGTATCACTCTTGCTTGACAACGGTACAAGAATCTGTATCAAAACGTCGCACGCACGAAATAAAGAAGTTGTTATCCATAAAACTTGTTCCATATTGTACGTCTCAACTCCTAAAATGCCACTCAAACAACATATCATCTGTGTAAACGATGTGTGTCGTACAATCTTGTTTAATACTTGACAGGTTAAATGATGGCTCGCTCTGGACGCGGCCATGCGGAAGACAAGGAGGCTTGGTGCATACTAAAACTTGGCATGCATTAATATAAAAAATGGAATGTTAATCGACATAGTCAAGGAGCTTATGGGATTCCGTGAAAGTTTTTTGATGAAAGCAAATCATATATTCTTTTGTGTTTATATGTTAAAGGAGTTTAAAAAAATGTTTGGTTCCAATCTGAATATTGATGCGAAAGCTATTTTTAGCTTAAAATCCAAGATGGCCGCCAATATTTAACCGGGAACTGAAAAAGTTGCAAAAACTCAGAACAAAACAATAGTTTTAATATCAAATACCATGCATATTTGGTTACGGAATATATTTCTCATATGCTGTAAGTCACCAGATCTTTTTAGTTTGATTTTAGTCTTAAATGTACATTAAAGAGTCATTTTTAGCTCTAAAAGTCTTAATGATGAATAAAAAAAACATTTCTTCACAAGGCATACATTTTGTATAGAACTAGGACAATATGAAAAAGGAATATACTTTTTACCCTGTTTATCAACTATAGAAGAGGTCTTTACATGAAACTGCAACCCAGAAATAAACTCTTCAAAAAAAGAAACGCACAAGCCATTTTTTAGAAGAATTTCTTGCATTAGTTTAAGAGCTATTATTTCATGTAATCCCAATGGTAAAACGGTGAAAATTCAAACGTCTATAGACAAAGCCTTTACTGTTGTGTTTCTGTTCTCTTGAGTCCACAAGATGGCGTCAAAGTCAGTTCTTTGTATGGCCACCATTGGCAGCAATTACTGCTCGGCACCGTCTCGGCACAGACTGGATAAGTTGACAAAGTAGCTATTATCATCGTAGGCGACTTCAATTTCCATTTTGACAATAAGGATAACCATGACACTAAACGAATAATTAATCTTCTTGAAGTCAACAACTGTGTGCAACTTGTGTCAGAGGCAAGCCACAGAGCTGGACACACTCTGGACTGGATAGTTACCCGTGATTCAGACGCGTGTGTCAGTGGTGTACCTGTATAGGATCTACAGCTCTCTGACCATTTCCATATATTTGTGAGCTTGGACCTCTCAATACCCAGTTCAAATGTAAAGATTACTCGCTGTAGGAACATGCGCTCCCTGGATATGGATACTTTTAAAGACAATTTGCTAAACTCAGACCTTATACTTGAGCCACCATCTGACGCTGAGAGTCTCGTTCTGCTATACAATAGAGTTCTGTCTGAGCTGCTATATAGACAAACATGCACAAGTGAAGGACAGAGTCATACTAGTCACTAAAACATCTGCTTGGGACTTCACACCTGAAGTTCGACAAGCGAAAAAAGACAAGAGGAAAGCAGAACGCAGATGGAAAACAATCTTTCCTGGAGATTCATCTCCAAATGCATATTTCAGCAAAAATCACTCAACAACGGTCATCAAACAAATCAACATCTCCATTCTAAGATTGAAGCCAACGAGTCAAGTCCAAAGTTGTAGTTTCAAACTTTTGTTGAGTATCTTGAGTAAACACTTTGAATCGACACTTCCGACATCTGATGACAATGAAGTAATAGCACAGACATTTTCGGAATATTTCTACAAAAAGATCCAAGAAGATTCATGACAAGATTTCGTCTTCTGCGGCTATGGATGAAGCTGATATTCCTCCAAAAATGTTTGATGGCACGCCACTTATTCATATTGATAGTTTCACTGATATTTACCAACATTAGTGCTGATTATGCCCCAAGTGTACTCAAGTCAGCTCTACTTAGGCCACATCTGAAGAAATCCAGCCTTGATTAGGAGGATCCCAAAAACTACAGGACTGTTTCAAACTTAGCATATATATCCAAACCCATTGAACGTACAGTCTCCAGTCGTCTCATGGGCCACCTTTCCTGGCATAACCTCTATGAGGTGTTCCTATCAGCCTGCAGAGCACACCACAGCACAGAGACGGCCCTGCTGAAGATCCCGAATGACCTACGATGTGGTATTGACAAGTGGCCCTGCTCACATTACTTGGCCTAAGCAGTGCCTTTGACACGACTGATCACCAGAGATTCCTCAAAAGACTTGATACAGAACTTGGATTCAGCTTTATCCTGGCTGGCATCTTATCTACAGGACAGGACTCAAACCGTTGTTGTTGGTGAGTCTGTGTCAACCGCATTTAGGCTTGAGTGCGGAGTCCCTCAAGGATCCGTGCTTGGTCCGATCATCTTCACTCTCTACACTGTTCCACTTGGCTTTGTTGTAGCAAACCTTAATCTTGACCACTTCTACGCAGATGACACGCAGCTGTGGAAGTTATTTCAACCAAACACAGAGTCAGCTATAGAGCGTCTCTCTGTCAGACATCAGACTGTTGCCAGAAGATATTCATGGATGTCATCAAATGCCTTGAAATTAAATTAAGAGAAAACAGAGTCCATTCTTTTGGGACAGGATGGAAAATGCAAGCAGTGTGACATTACTAGTGTGTGTGTCTGTGGAGCAACCATTCCTCTTTCTTCCACTGTCAACGATCTGGATGTTGTCATCGATCAAGATCTAAGTATGACAGAACACGTCAAATATGTTACTAAAACTTGCTACTCCCATCTCCACAATATCAAAGGCCAGACCGTTCTTTCCAAAGATGCCTCAAAAACTCTCTGCCTCAGCCTAGTCACATCTCATATGGACTACTGTAACAGTCGTTTGGCCGGATCTCCATCTTGTGTCACTGACCAACTCCGATGCATACAGAATTTAGCTGCTCGCATTACCTCCCAGATCACCAGAAAAAAGCACATCACACCAACTCTAAAGGACCTTCATTGGCTGCTCCTCCTTCAAACTATTCTGTCTCGCATACCAGTGCATGACTAACACGGCTCCAGTCTAACTCTCAGATCTTCTTCAGGCTTATGCACCATCTAGATCTCTCAGATCAGGGAATCAACACCTTCTTGTTATCCCCAAAGTCAAACAAGCTAAATATGGACACCGTGTCTTCTCCTATCCTGCTGATAAAAAAATGTCTCCCCACATTTATTTGTATATGTTTTTTTTCAAAGATTATAACCATTTTAGAAAGTTATTCGATCTGATGACTTGAAAATTATTTCAAGGGATTTAATTGAGAGAGTGTGAAGCAGAAAATAGTGTTTTCTCCCCATCATTTCATTATATTCCTATCTATTTTCAAAGAATTCTGCTTTTAGAAGAAAAAATTCAAGCGTAATAATAAGAAATAGATAAATCATAATCTGATATTGACATACTACATTTTGAAATAAGGACTGCTCCCTTACTGACAGTCTCACCAAACAAAAATAAACATCTCTTTTTTGTTTCATACATAACTGTTCTTTACTAACTTGATTTACATTGAGTTGATGAAATGAAGCAATCATATACTTACAAAATGCACAAAACCTACATCTGCTTAAATTCGTCTGCTAGCTGCCATTTTGAGAGAGGGAGTGTTCATTATATTTATTTATTTTAATTTTAAAAAATATGTTTGGGGGTTTTCTTTTAATAAAATATTTCATGAAATAGAGAAACACACTTGGATAAAGTTAATAACCTCAAACTTTAAATATTCAACTCTCCAATTATGACCTTCTGACCTTTTAACAACCTTTTCCACAACCATTTTGTACAGTGCTCAAAAGTGCTATTTGCACCATATTTCAGCTTGGAACCAAACTTTTTATTTAACTAGCATGTCTGATAAATACAAAAAACACAATGTCTTGCTTTCATCACAAAAATTCCACGGGACTTGAATTCTGTACCCATCCTACCAGACTATGTGATGCTTGATGTAGATGCTAACACCTCTAAGAGGCAGTCATCATTGTCCCTACAATCTTTACATGACTGATATAATGCTGTTGCGATATATATATCTGAACTCGGCATTCCTGAAAATGGTATAAGTATCTATACCAAAGTATCGCTATCATACAATAAAGAAGTTGATCATTCATAAAGACTTGTGATTCACACTTGACAGCTATGTGACATTCCTACTTACACCGTTGATATCTACAGAGTCGATGGAGTTGGGTGATTGTGGAATGGGGTCGTGGGAGTTGAAGCTGCCATAGCGTTGCTGTGTTTCATGTACATTGCTGTCATCATCGGTTTGTGTCGCCATGTCATCATCTCCAGTGTGGGCGGGGTCCAGTATTTGTCTAAAACACAGAGAGTAACAGATTATGTACATTTAAACTGTCTTACTGCAAGGTGAGGTGAGGTGCAATTGGGTTTAACATCGTGCTTGAGAATATTTCGCTCATATGACGATGTGCAAGCGTGTGTATGTGTATGTGCGGCTGCTTGTACTAGCCCAGACTTAAGCCGGTTTTATAGTGCTAGCCCACTGAGATACACTGCCGCAGTGAAGCATGAATACCCCACTCAGACACATTATACTAACTCCGAGCCGACCAGTCCTTGTTGTACCCATAAATGCCAAGCGCCAGGCTGGGACCAACAAGTACCATATTTTAGTTTCTTTTGGTATGATGCGGTCTGCTCAATGCAAGGAGTGAGTTGGTCGGTTTATATTCCATACAGAGCATGATCCCTACCTGTCAGAATACATCACACACAACAGTCGAGGTCAGAACAACATCAGTGCAATACAAGCAAAGCTAAATGATCTTTGCAGCTTCACCGCCTCAAACAATATTTGTCACGTATGAAAGTGGCATTTGACACAGAACCACTGTGAATTGTATTCATTATAGATTATTTCATCTGGGAAAGTATGTCTTTGAGATACAAGAATCAGATGTGATTGTCTGGATGATTCATATACTCTTTTCAAGAATTTAGAATCTGTAACATCAGTAGAATCAGAAATGTGATCAGCCATGCCATCTTGTTGTGGGTTGTCAGAACTTAAAGTAGAGTGGTACTGGACAAAAGATCAGATTTTAATGCAGTTGAACACAATGCACATCTCACCTATCGAAATTTCCTGATTCTCTTTTTGTGATGCGGACCCCAGACACCATGGATTTCACTGAAAGAAAACATCACATTGTCCTTAGACCAGACACTGATTACATACAATATTGGTTCATACATCATACAGAGAACTTTCTGGGGACATTTTGTGGGATGAAAGTGTTTTCAAGCTTTTTCAAAATATTTCATGAATGTTTCAAAATGGCACACATGTTCCTTTCATATCATTTCTGCCAACAAATCTGTTCAAGATGGACAATTGGACATGCATAGACGAGTGTGAGCATGTACGTGCGTGCTTGTTTGTGTAATTGTGGCAATATGTACACTTCCATACTAATTACGCTTATACAATACTGGATGGATATAACATGTCGCAGATTAATACCTATACCCCTTTCAAACACATTATACAGACTCTAAGCGAGCTAGTTTTATCAATAAAATGCCTGCCGTAACAAGAGCCATTTCTTTTTACGTCGTTTCATTTGATGTGGATTTGATGTGGGCTGCATTAAACGAGTGATCTTCTGCTAGGTCTGGCTAAAAAGATCGATAATCAGAAATATCGTTAATTTCGTAGAAAAAAATGAATGATTAGCAATATGAAAAAGTGTCATGGATAATATGGAAAATAAACTTATGTGATAGATTAAAGTTTAATTTATCTTCAATCAATACACAAAAATTAGGTTTTATTCATGGGCTGCTTCCCCAGATTATGTTCAGGCTGCTGTTTTGTTAGTGAACTCCATGCATAAACATTTCATCACTCACTAGTCATTTGAAATCAATTTCTTCTAGGACTTTCTTTGGCAATTTTGCTCAAACTTACTTCTCTGATACTTCTATCAATAATCAATCGATATTTAGTAAACGATCATCGATCTCAATGATCTGTATCGATAGCCAGCCCAATCTTTCTGTTCTCTGGGGAGATGCTCTATCCACTAGATCATGAGGGCAGTTTTTGTACTATGAAACCAAGGTTCATAATCACAACAATACTGCAAGCTGATCCCGATCCTGGAGACATCTACTCCATACTGCAGCACCCAACAGTGAGAATTCTTTACATTTGATGGGTTACCAAGTCACAAAATTAGTTCCTTGAAGCTGCTTTTACAAATATTACAGCCAGGAACACAGAGAAATGATCTTTACATATAATTCCCGAAAGAGGAATCAAACTCAGGACTTTGGTGAGATAAGCAACTGCTGTAACCACTGCCCTATTATTCATAATGTTCCAACATAATGACAGAAGCCGCACGTCACTCAAAGCTTGTGAACATGTGGCTTTCAGAACGCATGCAAGAATGTCCACCACAATAGGAATACTATCTGTCAGAGGCAAATAACGAGATCAAGTTCATGACAGCAGAAAACCAAAAATGGTGTAGCGACTTCTAATCCATAGCTTTGGAAGTGTAACCAATGATTCACCACAAGCAAAACAAAAACGAAATGAATGAAGAAATCATGCCGATAAACTTTTCAGCAAACCAAATCAAAAGATAATGGAGCTCAATGCCTACAAACTAAACTAATGACCTACTGGAACAAAAAGTGCTGGAAGGAACTGTTTACACGACAACTAGTTAACACAAAACCAACATACCAACACACAGAGGTGAACCCTCTGTTAAAGTAGGCCTCATATGCTGCAGGAGAAATATCACCAACTGTTATCCAATCTACACATCTGATTGGTCAGAAAATCTGGTTATTTTCTAACCGTAATTGCATTAGGCATAACTGAAGAATTTAAAGAGTGAAATACAAGCCTGCATTATCCAACCACAGGCTGTAAATACTAACAGTCTACCTGGTCAATAGCAACTTGTGAGTGAGTGAGTTTTACACCGCTTTTAGCAGTATTTCAGCTATATCACGGTGGGGGACACCATCAATAGTAACTAATACATGTCTGTGCATGCTTCACGTGCAACTTCATTCCCAGTGAGGCACCCGGACTCTCATTCTCTTCCCACAGAGGTTACTTGTCACATCTTCCTATGAACCACTGTTCTAATACGGCCATATCTCCCGGTTCTCGTAAAATCCCCCAGTGGCAAAAATCACAACACAAATTGTCTCCCTTCTTTCTATCCAATCAGAACAAGTGTTACATCTACTTAGATCCAACTTAACTAATACATGCAAATGTGGGGCCACAAATATCCCTCCTCTGCAGGGGACTTGTGTTGATGTGACGCTCAAGGCATTTAATGTCTAGCTTGTCGGTTGTCAATGAGGGCGATGGAGATGCCATTGATCCGCCATTACATGACTGAGTACTGTCTAGAATAAACGTTTGCGCATCGCGCAGGGGAAGAGGTTCTAGTTTGCCCGAAGCATACGGAAATTACAATGGTGACCTTTGTGAATGATCACTTTTGAAACAACGTCGCTGATTGCACAACTAAGTCTGATTGCAACCAATCACGAATCCTGAAAACTCGCACCTTGAAAGGGCCTTATTAATACAGAGGTTCGTAGGAAGATATGACAAGTAACCTCTGTGGGAAGAGAATGCCTGACTCATCTATTTCTGCAAATTTTATATTTGGGAGTACACTTCCCACAATATTCTAAAAGTGAAGTATAGATTCTGGTACTTTTTAATGGTTGAGTCCCATCATGGATTCAAACCCACACTCTCAAGAGTCAGGCTGGAATCCCCAGCACACAAAGTCAAAGATCTAACCTACTCAGCCATCACAGCTTCCCAGGAAATGGAAGTCTGACAAATGGTAGTCTTGTAGTTTTCCGCCGCATTTAGCGATATTCCAGCAATATCACGTCAGCTGACACCAGAAATGGTTTCATACATTGTATCCATTAGGGGAATCAAACCCGGGTCTTTGGCGTGACGAGCGTATGCTCTAACCACAAGGCTACTCTACCCCCCACCCTCTCACAAGTGTAAATTAGCACAGATCCCATGGCCGAAAACCATGAACACACATTGCCATTTAGAAACAGGTCAAATATGGCATATATTATATTTGAGATTACAATTTCTTAATTTTATGAGGTAAACGATGCTCTTACTATATTGGTCCCTCCCGGCTTTGCGTTTCTTGAGGCATCTCCAGATGATGATTGCAAGCAGGACGAGGAGGAAAATCCCCCCAGTGAGAGCTCCAGCCACAATCACTGGAAGGTTCCGTCTGGAGTTCCCACCAGGGTCAGTCAACAAATTAGTAGTTGTGTTGACAGTAGCATCTGTTGATATGTCAGTAGTTGGCAAGGGAGGATCGTCTGTCAGAGTCTCTGTGTCTGTTCAGGAATAAACAAGTGACACTGATTTAAATAATACACAGTTGGAAATGACTTGCTTCTGGATGGTCAGTTAGACGATCCAAATCACAATAACCACATCTCATTCAAACTGCTTATGTTATGACTGCATAACTGAGGAAACCAACACCTACAGAAAACAACATTAAAATTGTGAAATACATCATAATTGCTGTAATTACAATCATAGCCTATTTAAAGCGTGTAATTACCCCATGGGCACAATGTGTAGAAGCCCATTTCTGGTGTCTAGCCATGATGTTGCTGGAATATTGCTAAAGCGTGGTCAGTCAGTACAATACCAGGGCGGATCTAGAGGTGGAGGGTGGGGTGCACACACACCCTTCTCCCCTGAAAATGTTTTCCCTGAGGTGCATTTCCCCGTAACCTTTGTTCTTCATGACTTAATGTGCAACCCCCACTTCTCCAACATCCTGCATCCGACCCTGCAATACCTCACTACAATAAACTTGTGAAACATCAGTGCTGTCTTTTGTCCTGCAGGATTCCCAATGTTAATTATGTTTATTGTAAGTTTATATATGTGTTGGACGCATTTTGTTTCCACAAGACAACCACATCTGTGCGTGTTACTCTCCAACAAACGGGTACGTACATGTTGTACTGATGACAACGTACTGGACGGGACCCTCCCCAGCATCAGTGGAGGCTCTAACCGACACATTATACACAGTGGCTGGCGTCAGGTCAGAGATGGTGGTGTTCTGTTGGTCAGTCTGATATGACTGTCCTTGACCTTGCTGACCAACTGGTAGCCCTGGCAAGACTGTAGAAGAGACAAATGTCAACTGACATGGAGATATAGAGGACAATGGCTTTGTTACAGAAGGGCATAGATTGAACATTACTGCATGCAGGTGTGATTAGCATACAGAGGCGTCCCTCTAGATATTTCTTCAAAATTTATGACATGCTGAGCATCACAATAGATATCGATACAGATATCATGGAGCGATATCGTACGTCACGATTCGATGCGATGCATATCACGATAAGCAATCTTTAGTTATATTCTTTAAAAAGTGTATTTTGATAACAAGAAACAGTAAAAAGTTTGACATAACCACAATTTCTGGTGAAAAGTCACAATTTTAAGGTCAACGATACATATCAATGATACCTAAAAGGGATTGATGATATATTTATAGTCAGAAAGGTATCACGACATCGATACTCACGATATATCGTCACACAACTCTAATCAGCAAACATAATCATAAATGCTTTTTCAATGTCTGTTTGTTGTTAGAGCACTCAACAATATTCAATCTACAGAACAGAATTTTGTACATAGCTGTGTAAAACCAGCCAAACATCAAACTTTGGGTGTCCATATTTTTCCTGTTTTAGGTTTCCAACTTTGAAGTTTCATCCCAAACTGAACAAATAGAAAACACATCAGATTTCAATTTCCCCAACATTGTGGAAATTTATGCCCAGATGGGATAAAATGTTATCTTGTCAAACTCATGTGTATCAATCAGGATACCACGACGACACCTGATGACTGACTGACTGACTGACTGAGTTTGGTTTTACGCTGCTTTTAGCAATATTCCAGCAACATCACGGCGGGGGACACCAGAAATGGGCTTCACACATTGTGCCCATGTGGGGATTCGAACCCGGGTCTTCGGCGTGACGAGCCAACGCTTTAACCATTAGGCTACCCCACCGCCCCTGACACCTGATGAACCAAGTCAGTGAGTCTGATCAGTCAATAGGCAGCAGCCTATACCCACCCTGCACTGTGTCCCTGGGGGTCTCGACCGGTGTGTTCACCATAGCAACGTATGTGACGGTGTAATGCTGCAACTTCCCGTTCAGTGTCTGTGGGGGGAGCCACCATATTGATATGCTGGAGTTGGTGGTTGCATACTCCAGCTGTTCCACAGGACCTGGAACTGATAGACACACAGATCAGCTGGCCTTGTGTCTTACAGAAAATATTTCTAAATACTATGGTAAATAACTGATGGAACAGGGACACATGTCAGCCCTGGACTGTCAACCAATCAGCTTGTGTTTACCGGTCACACCTTGGCTATCAACCAATCAGCTTGTGTTAACCTGTCACATCTGCACTGTCAAGCAATCAGCTAGTGTTTACCGGTCACACCTGGACTGTCAAGCAATCAGGTAGTGTTTACCTGTCACACCTGGACTGTCAAGCAATCAGGTAGTGTTTACCTGTCACACCTGGACTGTCAAGCAATCAGGTAGTGTTTACCTGTCACACCTGGACTGTCAAGCAATCAGGTAGTGTTTACCTGTCACACCTGGACTGTCAAGCAATCAGGTAGTGTTTACCTGTCACACCTGGACTGTCAAGCAATCAGGTAGTGTTTACCTGTCACACCTGGACTGTCAAGCAATCAGCTAGTGTTTATATGTCACACCTGGACTGTCAAGCAATCATGTGCTGTTCATCTGTCACATCTAGGCTATCAACCACTCAGGTAGTGTCTGTCTGTGACACAGGCTGATACTCACCATCAGGGAGTGTCTTCACTTCAACTGGAGCTGAGAACGGACCTAGCCCTGGTGTAACTAGAACAGCGTACACAGCAGCACGAATACTGTAGCCAGTCCATGGAGTCATCTCACTGAAATACACACCATAATAATGTCAGCAACAAAAATATACACACTGTAAGGTAAAATCAGTGTAGCTTAGTGTGTAAATACTGGTGGCAATGTCATGATGCAACCTTGTTATGAAGCCAGTCCATGGAGTCATCTCACTGAAATACACACCATAATAATGTCAGCAACAAAAATATACACGCTGTAAGGTAAAATCAGTGTAGCTTAGTGTGTAAATACTGGTGGCAATGAATGTCATGATACAACCTTGTTATGAAGCCAGTCCGTCTGATATAGGAAGTTGCACGACCAGCATATAATGAGAGCAGTGGTAGATGGCTATCCTACTGAACCTGCCTGATATTCACTGTGGTGATGGAGATGTTGGTGATGGTGATGTTCCTCCACGTTGTTGATGCTGCAGCCTTGTACTGCACCACACAACCTGACAAGGGAGCACTCCACTCTCTCACGGGGGGGACCTGACATTCAACATCAGATCACAATCAGTATTTTGAGTCAGTTAGCCAATTATTTATTACCGTATACGGTATGTACTGCACAAAACATACTCTCAGTGAAGACAATGGAAGTGATGGGGTCCAAGTTAAAGGGCCACTGATCCAGAGCGATTAATGTTTCCAGCCAACAGTCTAATTACGAAACCTAGCTGCAAACTGGTCAGCCCCTGCTCCCTCGACCGTGACGGACGCGGGGGCTGGGCTACTGTCAACCTTGGCAGAATTTCTTCAACCTAATCAGTGGGACATTAGGAAGGGCGGATGCCCATCAGATGCCGTTATTTGAAAATATCCCCAGTAGTTATTGTCTGATTGTAATATGCCAGTAAGTATCCCAGCAGTGTAGGCTTTTTCGGATTTTCAAATGTTTCGATGGTATTGTGACTGATTCAATTTAATCCTATTTCTGTGTTTTTACCTCGATATTTAATCATGTAAAAATATGATATCTATTACGTATGCTATGATATCAAAAACACACATTTGATATATTTGAATCCATAAACTAAATAACCCATTTCGCCATGGCTAAAAAAATCTGAAATTTTACTTAGGTACATAGGTATATACAGTTTTTAACTAAGTACACAGCAAATGCTTATAAATGTATATATTTCTTATGTAACATTGAATTTCCGTTCATATCCTCAAAACAGTGTCAGCCCAGAAGTATTTTTTTCCAGGCAATCAAACACGCATGCAATACAGCGACTACTACTCTCTTGCTGTAACCCTTATTTGTTGGTAAACCAAACCTACACATCTTATTTGTCATCATTCACTTGATGGTCAGTTAATGAATTTATAACAGGTATAATTAGTGATAACACCACTCAGATTACCCGACAAAGGTTCCCATTTGGCATTTCTTGTGGTGTCTGGAGTAAAAACTCATCATTATAAATTGAGGTCTGATGTGGCAAATGCATTACATCTTGTGTAATATGCGCATGGAAGTGCAGTTAGAGGAATTATCAGCTGAGTTACAAAACAAACATCGATCAAAGGATTAACCAGTAACACGCTGATTGATTAATTGCTTTTATCCTGCACAGCGGATTTGTCAAAAGGTAGTGTTTATGTATGTAGATTTACTAATCTATACTGAATACACCCCGTCGTAAAGTCTCTTTGTAAAAACAACGTTCTTCCTTCAAAGGATTAACTGCCAATACATTGACTGATTGCTCATTATTGGCTAACTAAATTACTTATTTTAGGAATGGCGGATATCATGCAGTTAGTTGCCAGGTGTGCTATCTTGGCTGACCAATGGGGTGAGGTGAAATTGGGTTTTACGTCGTGCTTGAGAATATTTCGCTCATATGACGACGTGCATGCGTGTGTATGTGTATGTGCGCCTGCTTGTACTAGCCCAGACTTAAGCTGGTTTTATAGTGCTAGCCCACTGAGATACCATGCCGCAGTGAAGCATGAATACCCCACTCAGACACATTATACTGACTCCGAGCCGACCAGTCCTTGTTGTACCCATTAATGCCGAGCGCCAGACAGGGACCAACAAGTACCATATTTTAACGTCTTTGGGTATGACGCGGTCGGGGATCGAACCCACGACCTTCCGCTCTCAGGGCGGACGCTCTAACAACTACACCACGGAGGCGGTCGGTGACCAATGGGACTATACACCAATGTGAAAAACCTGAAACGATAGATCACTTTTTCGTATATTAGACTGTTAAAAGACACATGGCATAGAACAGGATACTTTCTCAGCTGCAGATGAATGGCATCTCATTCCTTTATGTGGATATTGATGGATACATTCCCCGAACAAGGTCATAACCTGATATTGTTGAAATAACTTTAGTCTGTTTTAATTTTGATATCTGCATTTTGTTTTTATTTATTTGTTATGGCATTCAACAGAATCTTTTTTTTGCCGTGAAGTGTAATGAGACAGACAACATACACTATGTCGCACTTGGGGTGTGTGTGTGAAATATGATACACGATGGCAATCTATCAGATGTCTAGATATTAGTCATGTTATAAATTCACTAAGGTGCAGATCGTGTGCAATTTATTAAGTTTCAAAATGCATACAAATATGATAATAAACTCGAACTAACCTGTAGAGGTTTCAGATTCTTTGAATATATTCCTCCTTGGGGTACTTATAAGCATTTAAATGTCCATTTAAATTCCCTACGACAGTTGTAACAATATTTGAATAAAATATTTACAAAACAAAAACTACGTTTTGTCTTGTGAGACCACCCTTACAGGGCCTTCCGCCCCTACAGCCAAGAGCAGGTAACTCTAGACCGTAACCTCGCACTCTCACTTCCATGCTGAACGGTCAGACAGAATGCGGGAGGTATGGGCGATGTGACTCTCAAGGAGGAATATATTCAAAGAATCTGAAACCTCTACAGGTTAGTTCGATTCTTTTTATATATTCCTCCTTGGGGTACTTATAAGCATAAGACAGACTCCTAAAGACGGATCTCAGGAGCGCATTCTGTCTGCTTAAACACCCCGACAAGAAGTGGAATTTCCCAAGCTAATTATAGCAGAAAAGGCACACTTACCCGGTCACGCGTCCACCAAAGCCAATCAGGCGGGGCATGAGCCAGGGTCAGGGTAAACGATGCAAATTTGTCCAGCTTAAACCTCGCTAATGCAACGAACGAGACACACCTCCTCCCTTCCGTAATCTACCGGAAGTGAAGATAAGGGTCCCGCAATAAACCCAGAAACGAAATGCCGGAATATGAACAGCAAAGTTTCCAAGGGCAGTTTAGTCTAGAGCTTCTCGGTTAGAAAGCAAGAGACATGGGAATAAAAAACCAGCACCACATAAAACCCATCACCAAGGGAAAAATGTAACAAGATTTGTAAAACCCAACACCAGTGTTAAAAATTGGCAGATAATGGTTCACACAATAATGTTTTAAAACCTCGAAAGCTCAATCGGCTAGAGAGGTGGAACCATGCCCACTGGAGAGAACTGACTGACCGAACCGAGCACGCTCACTGGAGAGTCTGTCAAGTTGGTAATGACGGATGAACGCATTCTCGGATCGGCTCCAAATAGCCGCTGAGCAGATCTCCTCAATGGGCAGGGCTGCAGCGTGAAGCTGTCGATGTAGCCACTGCCCTAACCGGAATGAGCTTTCAACCCAACAGGCGGATACTACTCTGTTTGAGTATAACTCATATGTATGGCAGAGACAAGCCACCAAGAAATGGTCTGCTTGGTCGCCGGAAGACCAGCCTGAACCCCGCCATAACAACAAAACAATTGGTTACCCTTACGGGTACCCCCTTGTTCGCTTTGATATAAGCCTGAAGTGTCTTACGGACATCTAAGACGGAGCACGCCAGAGAGAGGTACCGGACAGGGAAGGCTGAGTGAAATCTGGGAGCTTCAATAGGCTCGCCACATGGAAGGGACTATCCTTCTTAGGACGGTAAGTCCTCAGGCAGCCAATGCTAACTCTGTCTTTGTGAAAACAGTAAGCGCTGGATCGGCCGACATTGCATGAATATCGCCAACCCGCCTGCAGAGTCAAGTCGCCACAAGAAACGCCGCCTTCCACGCCAACAGCTGGAGGGAAAGAGCCGACAGATTGTGAAACAGTGGACCGGACAGCCAATCAAGAACGATTGACAAGTCCCACGGGGACTAATCCGCCGGACAACCGACGGACAGATTCTGTCCACGCTTCGCTAAAAGCCAGTACAAGAGGGTGCTGCCCCAAGAGAGCACCAACAACAGGAATATGAAACGAAATAGCCGTAGAATATCCTCAACAGTGGAAGCCGCCAGACCGGGCCCAACCAGACTGGAGGAATTCCAACACACAGACTAAATCTGTAGAAAAGGGATCAAGAATCCCCTGTTGACACACCAGCGCGGCCAACAGGCCCATCTATCCTCATATTGAACGCTTGTCGAATCCCTCCGCTGAAGCCAGAATTGTGTCTGCAACTGGTGCAGGAATTCGGCGCGATGGAGGCGATCCCTGATAGCGGCCAAGCCACCCACTGAATCCTGGATTCGGGTGGGCCCGCTCTGGGATAGGAGGTCCGGGTCGAAAAGGTAATAGAACAGGAGGCTGAGCCAGAAACCTGAGAATTACCGAAAACCAGCTTTGTGCCGACCAAGGGTGCCAGAAGCACAAGTAGCCGAGCTGGTTGTGCGCGGTCAGCTGCTTACAGGACCCTGGAAATCAGTGGTATCGGGGAACGCCTACAGTGCCCCTCCCTTGTCCGGCCCAATCTAGCTGAAAGGCGCCATTATTAACGCATCTCGATCCGGAACTGGAGCAAAACACAGGAATCTGGTTCTCACCCCAGACGCAAACAGATCCACCTGGAACGCATCTAACAACTGGGAGATAATCCCAATATCTCCCGTCGAAAGCATCCACTGTGTGGGGCTAGTATACGCCGCGGAGAGAGCATCTGCACGGACGCTTGTCTACCCCTCGGAGATAAACAGGCAAAACCCGAATGTTGAACTGATCGCACCACAGTAGAAACTGCCACGCCCTGAAGGAGCCGACGGAGACACAGTGCTCTTTGCTTGAGAATGTAAGACATGGCCATTTGATTGTCCATTTCTAGACGCAAACCCACACGGCCCTGCACCAACACTCGGAAGCACTCGAACACCTTGGCGGACTGCTCTCAGTTCTAACACATTGATGTGGCAGGTTGACCTCCCGCCTCCACCAGAGGCCGGAGGCTGAGTGCTCGCCCAGGACCCCCAACCTGTGAGGGAGGCCCGCCTGAACTGAGAGGGAAGGTGTCGGGTGTCTAGGGGGATCCCCTGACAAATTCCATCCGGCCGACCATCGCAAGTGAGGGATTAACCACTTCATGCGCTATGAGCATAATCTCAAAGCCCTGCGAAAGGGGACCACAGCTGAGCTTAATGCTTGCTGAATTGGTCGTGATCCTCAAACGCCACATCGCCAAACCACGCCCACTGTCGCCGCCATGTTGCCGCCGAAAGCAACCGAAGCCGCCATGTTCGGGCCGCGAACGGGGTACTGGAGGAACTGCAACACAGTCCCCCTCGGACTTTGACGATGCGTCCGGAGCAAGGGAAACAACTCTAGCCGCGTGTTGAATCTGGCTCCCAAGAATATCAGATCCCGGCCGGAACGAGGTCTGATTTCTTTTGAGATTGATAATCCAGCCCAGTGACACCAGAGTATCCAGCACGCACAGTGTGGAGGCTCTGTTTAACTGAGGCCCTAAGGCCCGTGAAGAAGCCAATCGGGTCCAGGTAATGGGTGACAACACCTGCCCCGGTGACCTGGCTAACTGAGCTGGGATTAGCATAAGTTTGGTGAACACCCTTGGCGCCGTGGAGATGCCGGAAGGGAGCACGCCGAAACTGGTAGCACGTCCCGGGTCGAAGGAGAACCGGAGGTACTTTGAATTCGGGTGCATTGGAACATGGAGGTATGCGCCTTTGAGATCGATTGACGTAAGCCAATCCCTCTGTCTCGACGGAGGAGATCACTGACCTGAGTGTCTCCATCCTGAAAGACGGCACCTCCAGTAATTTGTTCAGCCCTCTGAGATTCAGGAATGGGTCTGAACCCCTCCGCCCTTTGGTCACGCAGGAAGTAGGTGAATAAAACCCTCTTCTCGCTGACTCACAGGAACCACCTCGATGGTCAGCCTTTGGTCAGTAAAGACTGAACCTCGCACGGAGGACTTCCGCCCTTGCTCAAGCGGCGGGGTCACAGGCGCAGCCGAACCCCGGAGAAGGACGGAGGATCGCCATCCCACTGTGGCAAATGGCCATCCCTGAGCCGTGGACAGGACCTAGGGATTTGAGGTGGCTGCCTCCCACTCCCCGGAGGAATAGGGACAGCCGGTCGCCGACAGGACGGTGGCAAGAGGGCAGTGCGACCCCACCGCCGCAAGTCTCCGCTATGGAGTGGGGGCAACAAGGGCTCTGGGGAATGAATCAGTGGAAGCCGGGCTGGCTTCCCCTTGCCCTCAAAAGACTGCTGCGCTGGAGCAGGCTTGCCCCCTGCCTCTCGTAAGCCTGCTCCGCTTTGACTGCAAAGGGCAGCCCACTTAACATCCTTCGCCGAGGCAGAAGGGTAAGCGGACGCGAAGCGGGAGGGCCGATGGCTGAGGAGCGGAGGGCTGCTCCAACAAAGGCTTTGAGTCCTTAAAGGTAGAGACAGCCTCGCGCGCCTCCCGCATTCACCTGCAAGGCCCCAGGAACAGGAAGATCCCATGGTATAGGGCAATGATAGTAGAGCTTGCTGTGTGGCCAGCTTAATACCGCCACAGACAGCCACAGGCGGCGCGCCCTTCCCATGACGGTATCCATCATCTGGCTGGCACAGCACCGTAATGCTGTCCCGAGCCAGATGCGAGTGTATCGTCCGTTAACTGCCGGGCGAAAGCACCGACTGATGAATCGGCACCGCCAGCGCTGTGGGCCACCAGTTAGCTGTCCCTGCAACGCCGACAGGTAGGCTGAAATGGACTGCTACTTTAAGTAACATTCTTCGAATGACCGGTAGGCAGACTTCAGCGCAGTGACGCATTAGCCGAAAAGGGGAGGCGCTTGTTCTGCCTGGTCGAGGCCAGGAAGACGGCGACGACCCTCCTAACGCGGACTGAGGGCAAAGACGATTCGTCCACCACTGGTGGTTCGAAGAGCCGCCTCCGCGACCTAACTGGTACCGCCGGCCAGACTTCAGGCAAATCAAAACGCCGAAGCGAAGTACCAGCCAGGAGCTGATTCACCACCTCACTGACCAGTGATGGGAGAATGCGCAAGCCGCGTCTCTGCGTAATCTGGTTGGTAAACGCCCCGGAGCCGAAACTCCGCTGGGGTCGGGTGCCGGATCGGAACAGCCACCCGCGGCAGGACTTCGGCCATCTTCTCCCGGTCCTGCCGCAGGGACGAGGCAAAGGAGTACGGCACTCCCGCCCGGATTCCACCGCCCCTTCCTCCTCCTCCATATCGACTCGGCAGAATCCTCGGCCGCCATAATCTCAGACTCCTGAGAGAGCCGAGGAGACGCCAGAGGCAGGACCAGAAAAACTCGTGGAGGTCAAGAGGAGCCAGGGAAAACATCGCCTGCCGGAGTGAACTCCGCCAGGTCGCCGAAGTCGCCCGAGAGAACCTGCCGCAACAGGCTTCCCCGGCAACCCCGACTGGCTGTCGGGCCGAGGTATCCCTCAACTGGTCGGGCTTCTGTATGCATCGCCAGTTGGGACACCAGGCAATGACAGGGACAACCCTGTATCGCCGGGCACCAGGCACCTGTGACAGACCAGTGCATAAGCCAGGTCGCCACCAGACGCCGAGGGCATGCCTTCACCAGGGCCGGCCAGGATCAAGCCGCCTGGGGAGGCGCTGCTCTCCGAGCCGAGCTCGGGCCGCAGCCAACCCCCAGATGTGTCAGCCCCGCCCGACGCATCGGGCGCCATTTGAGCTCCTTACGAACCCCGCTAACGCCGTGATCAATCAGGGACTTGACTGACGGCTTATCTGCTCCTGGAAAAAACGGTTAACTAATCAACAGGAACACTTTTACAGGTGCTGAATCAAGAGGGGGTGGCGGGTACAGAAGGGGCATGAGTGCGCGAAGACGGCTTCGCTTTGGTCGCCTTTTAGCTTTACTTGGGAGCCGGGTTCAAGGGGAAGCTGCCCCGCGGACCCCCTTTTTTACTATGGAGCGCTTTGGACGGGGATCCTGTGCCCAGAGATCACCCCACCAAGCAGGCTGTCGCCGAAAACAGCTGCGAGTCTATCCGGCCACCAATGGTTTGGGCGCAGAACTTGGCACATGCCGCACACCCCTCTTCCTCATGTTCCTTCTGCACTAAACAGCTTAAGCAGACCTCGCGGGTATCCCGTATCGGGAATTGCAGCAAGGCACGGCACAGGGTTTAAACTGCAACAAGTAAAACCTGTGCAGCAATCTACCCTATACCCACATACAAATACATGTAAAAAGACGATGGGCTTACACAACTAATGCGACAACGTAGCATGCAGTTGACAACCTAGTACACACTGCAGCATAACTAACAATTACGCTTTTTAGCTGTAATATAGAAAATGCGAGCAGTAGACATACTCTACACGCATAAAGATACAAATAAAACCACTAAAACCACCTGTAACATTGAAAACCACACGGAAACCAATGAACAGGAAGGTTAGCGAAGGCACCTGTCCGCCATCTTGCCACGACTAGCTTGCCGCCGACCGCGACAGGTACCAAGTTACAACGAAATTATGAATGAAAAAAATTCAGAAAAACCTCCACCCGCGCATGCAGGGAAAAAAAGAGAACCATACATACAGTTGCCGCTTCTGAAACACTCATAACTCTCTTTAGTCGCGAAGGAAAAACCTTCTGGTATGGACTCCACGCCTTGTCGGGTACAACGCACAGCATGGAAAGTGAGGTACGAGGTTACGGTCTAGAGTTACCTGCTCTTGGCTGTAGGGGGGCCGGAAGGCCCTGTAAGGGTGGTCTCACAAGACAAAACGTAGTTTTTGTTTTGTAAATATTTTATTCAAATATTGTTACAACTGTCGTAGGGAATTTAAATGGACATTTAAATGCTTATAAGTACCCCAAGGAGGAATATATAAAAAAGAATAATTAGGATTATAAGACAAAATATAAAGACGTACATTGACTTCGTTATTTCAGTCCTAACATTTTTTACCACTGGCAGATGGTTCAACTTAAAATGTTTTCATCTGTTATCAAAATAATGCCATTTAATACAACATTCAGATTGACTAGTAGTGAACCCAAGCTCACTACTCTCCCCAAGACTCCCCATGTACTTAGTTAGCCTTACTTTCAAAACAATGCTATCATATCAGGCTTCTCACCAAATTCAAGGTCAAACTATTTCTTAAATCAAATTCTGCTTCCATTTACGTTAACATTTTTATAAAGTCAACATTACTATGAAATCAAAATTTTACATCAAAATCAGCATTTTATCAAAGTGAATATTTTTTTATAAGAAACCAGATTAATCATCAAAGTCTACATAATTTTACAACAAAATCAACATAAGATTATCGAGTAAAAAAGATTTCATCTTTGTTGATCAGTCTATACTTATACTATCAATTGTGCATGAGGGTGGTGCAGCAGAGGTAACGAACCAGTCATGAATTCTGGGATATCATCCGGGCACTCAATGGAGAAAATCAATAACAAAAGCAACAACCAGTCCACGGAAATTGCTCTGGATCAGTGGCCCTTTAAGTTCAATAGACCCAGAGGCCTTTGCCAGGTATATTTTGTGCTGTACCCACAGCTTCAAATTTGTATAGGAGCGTAACCTTTAGCATAAGACGCTGTCAATGGGATGGGTGATTCACACAGTTTATTTGGGGATATCATTATGCTACTCTCCTGTTGGATGGGTTTGACAGTCGCATTGAGAGGATTAAGGACTGCAGTAAATATACATATCGATTACTGTCACAATAAGGTGTAGTATTTTTTAAATGAGGGCCTTCAGACTTTTGTCAGGGCATGCAACTTCTAACATGTGTGGGTAATGATGGCAGCCTGGCAATTGTATATACTTCAAGCACTGGGCTCTTGGGTCTGTGATTCCACAAAATACTGAGAATTCATACTGCCAATTCTTAGGTTGGTTTGTTGTTTAACGCTGCACTCAGCAATATTCCAGTTAAATGGCGGCAGTCTGTAAATAATCAAGTCTGGACCAGACAATCCAGTGATCAACATCATGACCATCAATCCACAGAACCTGATCCCCCGATCCCATTAGTCGACTCTTACGACAAACATGGATTGCAGAAGACCAAATCTAACCAGGTATTACTAACAATTCCACCACTGTGACTTGAATACAAATATAACGACTCAGTGGACACATACTGACCTCCCATGTGATTCCCACTTGGTTAGAAGTCTTGGAAATAACCTGTAGGTTTACAGGGGAATGTGTTGGAGCTGAAAAAAACATACAGTCGGTGACAATCTTACACTACTTCACACAATTTTAGTTTTGTTATGACGTGGTGTGACAAGTTTTGTTTTGTTATGACATGGTGTGACAAGGTTATTGCACTTATATAGTGAGTGGGTACTCATTTGGACTAAAGATGTTTTATAGAGCTAGCTCACTGATGTACCATGTTGAGGTTGAACAAGGATACCCTATACAGACACATTGTACTGACTCAAACTCAGGTGCACTTTGTACCTTTCTGGGGAAAGCAGTTTAGAGTTATCTGCCCTTGGTCACATTAAAAGAAAGCGAGATGCAGAAAACTGAAAATGGCACCAGACAGATACCAGAAACCAGACCAGGCTCTTTATTTTCTTTAAGAGCACTTACTTTCAGGGAGTGTCTGAACAGACACTGGATCAGAAACGGGACTGCGACCAGCAGAGTTTTCAGCCTCCATCACCAGAAAGTAGTTCGTCCAGGGAGACAACTCTGTGAGGTTGACAGAGGTGGAGTTGAGGATGTGTTTCTCCAGGTACAGAGTGTGATACAGCAGCTGTCGGTACCTCAATGTGTACCTGGTGATAGGGCCGTTCTCATCACCAGCAGGGGGAGGCTGCAACACAGGTGTTCATCACTACCACTGGTATGTTTTGATATGATCAATACTCAGGTACCCTGTACCACAACAGCCGGGGGACGGTGGGGTAGTCTAGTGGTTAAAGTGTTTGCTCATCACGCCAAAGACCCAGGTTCGATTCCATGGGTACAATGAGTGAGGCCCATTTCTGGTGTCCCACACTGTGATATTGCTGGAATATTGCTGAAGGGGGCATAAAACCCAACTCACTCACTCACCACAGCTGTGGGTCAAAGTGTGGGTCTAAATAAATGATGCTAAAAATAGTAACCCAATAAATTTACATTTTTTTCATAGCTGAAATATGACATCAATAGTAATCAGTTTGACTAGTTATGTAAATGTGTCAGCAGTTGAAGGTATAACCACATCAATCTGTACATACATGAAACTTTACCTGACTGTCAGACCGTCCCATCCATGTAGTTGCCTCTCAAAATATGGAGCATAGGTTACTGAGGACCTATCAATACATGTTGTCTTTGAAAAAAAACACAGCACACATCTTAGTTGATACAGACACCAGTTCAATACATGTCTGTTTGGTAAACAGTTTCATAAAGCAACCATGAACTGTTTATGAGGTAGGATATTAAAGTTATTACATGACAGTTTCCCTTTCGCAGTCATATCAGCTCGAGGGCCAAAGGCCCCGAGGTCTGATATGGTAGTCTCGGCTGATATCACTGGCGAAAGGGAAACTGCCATATCATAACCTTTTCATCAATACCACGGGGTGGTGGGGTAGCCTAGTGGTTAAAGCGTTGGTTCGTCACGCCGAAGACCCGGGTTCGATTCCCCACATGGGCAAAATGTGTGAAGCCCATTTCTGGTGTCCCCAGCCGTGATATTGCTGGAATATTTCTAAAAGCGGCGTAAAACTGAACTCAGTCAGTCATCAATACCACATCAAGGGACGTAACTCTAAAATAGACTAGGGTCCATGCATCTATTGAAGTTTCAAGTGTTTGCATGTATTCATTCTGTACCAGTAGCCGGGCAATACGGCTGATCTGGATGTTTGATCCTAGGGCTGATATGGCTAATATGCATTTTCGTCCCGGGTGGTCAATAAGGACATATACGGACAGCCAGTATTGCATGTGGAAAGTGGTCCATATTATTCATAGGTACATGATAATAAATGGTACGGATCAATGGGTCCCTTCTATTTCACCCTGAAACCTTGTATAGGTGTGGCATAATTATGAAATGCCAAAGGACCCCGTTGTGAAGTATTTATTCATTTACCTGCCAGGTGACCTCCACAATGCGGGAACCAACAGCTACAGCAGTCACGTGTCGGGGACCAGAGTCAGGAGCTACAACACATCCAGCAGACGTTCATGTGCAGGCACGAGGATGGTCAATGACTAGATAAAGAGTGATTATGTATAGGAGAAAACACGCCCCGAGGTTTTGATAGAGGGCCGAGGGAAGAGGGATTTCCCTCCTCCCAAGGTTTTACATTCTCTACCAAAACCGAGGGGAAGTGTTTTCCCTAACATATAAACCGTGCATGATGGATAATTATAATATAGATGATCATTTAATGAAGCTACATGACAATAACCGAAGCGCAAGTAAAATCAATTTAATGACAGTAACTATAAATAGATAATTCAACCCCCAACGTCTTCGTTGGATCGGTGGACGTGAGGTTGAGCATCCGCTTATTAACCTTATAGATGCGGTTCTGAGCCTGCTTGAGAAAACATTTGCACTTTGAAATTAATCTTGGACGATATTTTTCAATTTATTTCAAACATTCATATATCATTTGAATGTTGATGTTCATATAGAGTTAGGAAAAAATAATTACAAAAATTAAAACCTGGTAAGTGGTCTTACTTACAAAAAGTAAAATCTGGGAAGAGGTCTTACTTACTAAAAGTAAAACCTGAGAGCAAACAAAAACCTCAAATGCAGTTTTCCGGGAAAACAAGAGATGCTGAATATATTGTGAGAAGCACACGTCAGGGTATATGTTTCATCAACATTCCAACACAAAAGCTGGGAGGTTTTTCTCAGCATTTGCTGCCGGATATCTAAGTTTTGAAACCTCCTGCTAATGCTTTTGGTTACAAAATAAATTTTCAGGCATCAATACTCGAAAGACCCTGTAAATCTGGAAACAGGAAATGTTTACATTAGAAAATATAGCAACAGAACTGGGACATACGTGCGGGATGAGTCCGTAGAGTTAGAGATGAAGAGAAAGGACCCCATAGGTCCTGTTCCCCTTCGCGGTTGGCTGCCCGCACTCTGATCTCGTACTTGGTGTAGGGGTGAAGGTCAAGCAGATCAAACTCTTGGTTTGGGAGGTTTGGGTCTAAAATCTCCTGAACGTCATATTCTGAATAAAACAATTATTTCACAGGTCATTGAAAATATGCTTGGTTTAACCTTGATTTGAGCCTTCTGAAGGACTAAAACTTTCACCTTCCTTTACATTAAGCCTATGAGTACGGTGCTGTCAAGGATCATAATCTGTTCAAACATGGAATTTAGAACAGAATTTCCTGAACATCAAAGGGCAGTAACTCAACACAGCCTTGGATAACTGGGAGACACTGCCCGTCAAGATCAGACACAAGATTTGAACACCGATCAAATGTGAACTGTCACGAAACATAATATCATTGTCAGGTATAGGGAACATCAATTTTTGAGAATTCATGCATAAAGGACGATGGAAAGATAATTAAATTTGAATTTCATAATTATTACACCTTTGATCCTTCATTCAAGGTATGTTGTTTTCCTGATTCCCAAATGTCAAACATCAATACCATTTGTTTCAGTCTCTATCTAACCTGGGGCGATGGGGGTAGCCCAGTGGTTAAAGCGTTTGCTTGTCAGGCCGAAGGGCCGGGTTCGATTCTCCACATGGGTACAATGTGTGAAGCCCATTTCCGGTATTCCCCACCGTGATATTGCTGGAACATGGCTAAAGCAGCATAAAACGCAAGGTTTTGGTAGAGGGATCTAGGAAGAGGGATTTCCCTCCTCCCAAGGTTTTACATTCTCTACCAAAACCGAGGGAAGAGTTTTCCCTAACATATCAACCGGCCAATGATGGATAATTATAATGTCAGATGATCATTTAATGAAGCTACACAACAATAACCTAAAGCATAAGTAAAATCAATTTAATGACAGTAACTATAAATAGATAATTCAACCCCCAACGCCTTTGTTTTGATCGGTGGCTGTGAGGTAGAGCTGTCCGCTTGTTAGCCTGATAGATGCGGTTCTGATCCTGCTTGAGAAAAAACATTTGCACTTGAAATTAATCTTGGGCGATAATTTTTCAATTGATTTCAAACGCTCATATATTATTTGAATGTTGATGTTCATATAGAGTTAGGAAAAAATAATAACAAAAAATTAAAACCTGGTAAGAGGTCTTACTTTACAAAAAGTAAAACCTGGGAAGAGGTCTTACTTACTAAAAGTAAAACCTGAGAGCAAACAAAAACCTCAAATGCAGTTATTCCGGGAAAACAAGAGATGCTGAATATATAGTGAGAAGCACACTTCAGGGTTATATGTTTCATCAACATTCCAACACAAAAGCTGGGAGGTTTTTCTCAGCATTTGATGCTGGATATCTAACTTTTGAAACCTCCTGCTAATGCTGTCGGTTACAAAATAAATTTTCAGGCATCGAATACTCGAAAGACCCTGTAAATATGAAAACAGGAAATGTTTACTTCAGAAAATATAGCAACAGAACTGGGACATACGTGCGGGGTGAGTCCGTAGCGTGAGAGCTGAAGAGAAGGGACCCCATAGGTCCTGTTCCCCTTCGCGGTTGGCTGCCCGCACTCTGATCTCGTACTTGGTGTAGGGGTGAAGGTCAAGCAGATCAAACTCTTGGTTTGGGAGGTTTGGGTCTAATATCTCCTGAACGTCATATTCTGAACAAAACAAGTATTTCACAGGTCATTGAAAATATGCTTGGTTTAACCTTGATTTGAGCCTTCTGAAGGACTAAAACTTTCACCTTCCGTTACATTAAGCCTATGAGTACGGCGCTGTCAAGGACCATAATCTGTTCAAACATGGAATTTAGAACAGAATTTCCTGAACATCAAAGGGCAGTAACTCAACACAGCCTTGGATAACTGGGAGACACTGCCCGTCAAGATCAGACACAAGATTTGAACACCGATCAAATGTGAAATGTCACGAAACATAATATCATTATCAGGTATAGGGAACATCAATTTTTGAGAATTCATGCAAAATGGACGATGGAAAGATAATTAAATTTGAATTTCATAATTATTACATCTTTGATCCTCCATTCAAGGTATGTTGTTTTCCTGATTCCCAAATGTCAAACATCAATACCATTTGTTTCAGTCTCATTCAAACCTGGGGCGATGGGGGTAGCCCAGTGGTTAAAGCGTTTGCTTGTCAGGCCGAAGGGCCGGGTTCGATTCTCCACATGGGTACAATGTGTGAAGCCCATTTCTGGTGTCCCCCACCGTGATATTGCTGGAACATGGCTAAAAGCAGCATAAAACCCAACTCACTCACTCATTCACACACTCATTCAAACCAAGCTTCTTAGAATCTACATATTAATAACAATATTAACAGTCGTAAGTCACTGACAAACAACTCACCTGTTATGCCAGTGTCTGTCTCCAGCATCTCCCTGTACTGCACCTGGTATTTCCGGATATTCCCGTTCTGCTGTGCCGGCACCTCCCAGGACAACCTGGCACCACGTGCAGACGTCGACAGCAGACGCAACCTCAACGGTGCAGATGGCCCTGACACAGACAAATAGACCAACTTACCACATCTCTCTCAAAATAATTGTTTCACAGCCTATTTGTTATACAAATCTCGTGTGGATGTTACTACTAGCCAAGTTTGTTTCTGGTCCTACTTGAAGAAGACAATTATGTTTATGAGACAATGGGGAAAGTCTGAGCATAACAGCCATCAGATATTACAAGTCACTGAGGACTTATCCTTCTTCGTTAGTGGACCTGAGAGAATTTTTAAAGCTGTCACAATATTTGAAAATACACCAAAACACTGGCATATATAAACAAAGCCTTCTATCACATATTCAAACCGTTGAACAATAAGAGCAAGAAGACAAAGTCATCAATATCCCCCTCAATGGTAAAATACTCTTCATGATTATGTCTACGAGTTATGATTATGTCAAATATTTAGGTGTGTATATAGGAAAGTGGAAGGAGAGTATTGACAGGTTTTTAAAGTTCTGCTCCAGAAAGGCGCACTACCACCAATTTCAGTCTAGTCAAACTTGTTGCCATGGAAACGCCAAAAATATTTTATTCAGAAATCCAAAACTACCAAAAGGCACCAGTACACAACCAGATCTATCTATGTGCCAAGTTTGGTGAAGAAATAGTGAACGGTTTTAGAGTTCTGCTCCGGAAAAGAGCACTACCACTAATTTCAGTCTAAGTCAAACTTGTTGCCATGGAAATGCCAAAAATATTTTATTCAGAATTCCAAAACTACCAAAAGGCACCAGTACACCAACAGATCTATCCATGTGCCAAGTTTGGTGAAGAAATATTTAACGGTTGTAGAGTTCTGCTCCGGAAAAGACAAATGTGCACGGACGTACGGACGGACGCACGCACGAGTCCATTTTAATACCCCCTGCAAAACGCATTGCGGGGGATAACAAGATTTTATAACAGGAAGAATAATTCAGATGCATCATCATTTCATAAATGTCATTCCACTGAAGCTAGTTTGTATGACGCTATAGTAAAAACAATGTAGATATATGTTAAATATACACACACCAAATTGAACATTTGAGGCCTCAAGCTTCTTGTCTTTGCTTCCAAATTCAATGTAACATAGTTAGACCTACATGCATCCCAGCTCCACATTGCAAACTAAGTATGTTTAACTCCTAATTTCAAACTTCAAGAAATGTGGAACAATTTACAACTAGCAAAACTCTTTAGAAATTACAGTCAAATCCCGATGAGTCGAATGCCGGTGTCTCGAATATTATGCATAACTGGAAGTACCTGTCGGTCCCGACCATTCCCTGTTATAGTTGTCATCATTTGAATACCGGTTACATGAAATCGTCTCATAAATACACACGATGACTCGAGAAGGAAATTTGGTCCCATGACATTCAAACAACAGCAATATTGTATACATAAGCCGAAGTCAGTCAATGAGAAGTTGATTGGTGTAGCAAACTGATCCAATTAACAAACCAGCGCGGCTCACACCTTTCCGCCATTGACAGGTGAGTTCAAAAGGCAGATTAGTGATTTACGGAAATCACTGTCTGTGCTAATCAGACTGGAACTGATAAGGTGCCCCTATTAGTGATAGGGAAATCATTAGGTAAACAAATGCTTAGGTGGAGGAATTAGGACTGGATCATCTTTTTTTCTACCCTCATAGACATACCTATGTCTCGAATACATCGATAAGTCGAATGTATTACTTGGTCCCCTTGTATTGATTCGACTCATCAGGATTTGACTGTAGTTGGTTATTTAGTTTGAAAGTCACCAGCTTCACCATTAGCTCAAGGAGTACAGAGATAGGCCAATAGGCCAACGACTATCTGAACAAGGGCGAATATAGGATCGCCATGGTAATTACTAAAGTGTTTAAATCATATCTTGTTCTAGTTCAACATGTGCCAACTCAACTTTACTTGCATGAAATTGTGACATACTGACTTTTCATGAACAGCAGTTGTTTATTTAATTCCACCAAGCAGAAATAAAAAAATGCTATAAAATAAGGGTGAAACAGTATGCTCTTACCACGGTAGGGTACGTATTGCGGTACAAGGCCTTCGGTTCGGTCCGTTTCGGTTCGGTATATGAGATATGATCACAATGCAGAAAGTTAACAAGAAGACCCAAACCTGACATTGTTTAATAACATGGAAATATAATAGCTATAACCTTTGTTATTTTGAATGAACAAAACCGTATTTTATGACTGGACAGAAGGAGTAAATGAGTTGGGTTTTATGCCACTTCAAGCAATATTCCAGCAATATCAAGGCGGGGGACACCATAAATGGGCTTCACACATTGTACCCATGTGGAGAAACCACAAGGTTATCCCACCGCCCCCTAGACAGAAGGAACATTACGATAACCGAATATACTGAATTTTGGGATTGCATTACGGTATACCGAACCGAAGGCAAAATACCGTGGTTCTACTAATACCGTTCTATACCATTTCAGCCCTACTATAAAACACTGTCCCTATCAAAATACATGACCTTGCACATGACCACCCTCACCTGCTTCCAGTGTGGTGACAGTCAGGGCGTTGCTGGGAACTCCCAGGCCGGCTGAGTTCTGAGCGGAGATGGTGAAGGTGTACTTGGTGCCTGGCAGGAGGTTCTCCACCTCGTAGTGCAGCAGGGTTGGAGGCAGTCGTCCTGGGAACGTCACGTACTGTGTCTCTGGTCTGAGTATTAGGAATATCATTGTATCAGTGTCGTATAATGATCTAACGTTTTAAAATATGTGGCTACATCTATACACCATGTACATGTATGCTATTTCCGATGACCTGAAAATGTGTGATTGCTGGGCAACTTAGTTTTATGGGAGTTATGGATTACCCCGTGGTTTAACCCGAAATATTGCAAGGGATGACTGTACAGTCAAAACATAACCTTGTATACTCAAGTCATTTTTATAATCATTTTACTTGTACCACGGGCCTCCGACATACAGGACTGCCTCCGTGGTGTAGTGGTTAGAGCATCCGCCCGGAGAGCGGAAGGTCGCAGGTTCGATCCCCGACCGCATCATACCAAAAGACGTTAAAATATGGTCCTTGTTGGTTCCTGCCTGGCGCTTGGCATTAAGGGGTACAACAAGGACTGGTTGGCTCGGAGTCAGTATAATGTGTCTGAGTGGGGTATTCATGCTTCACTGCGGCATGGGATCTCAGTGGGCTAGCACTTTAAAACCAGCTTAAGTCTGGGCTAGTACAAGCAGCCGCACATACACATACACACGCATGCACGTCGTCATATGAGCGAAATATTCTCAAGCACGACGTAAAACCCAATTTCACCTCACCTCCGACTTACAGTTAAAAAAAAAGACTGTCAAAACGTAAACTTGTATACTCAAGTCACTTTTATAATCATTTTACTTGTACAATGGGCCTCCGACATACAGTTAAAAATACAGACAGATACCTATCTGGTGTGCAACGTAGAAAACTACTGGCTATTTCACACTTATTTCAAATATTCCCAAATACAGACCATCAAAAATATTCACACATCCAAAGGATATCTCTTGAGAAAGATCAGATTGCTCAGCCTTATTAAACTTATTTCAATTATAAAGGCTACTCCAGAAGACTAGTGGACACCATTTTTCACTAGCCATGAGAATTTGTTGCTAGTTGTAGCAAGTGTCAAACCCTTGACACAGCTTTCCCCTTGTGTCTCTCTATCAGTGAGGCGCTGTCCCCACCTTTTCTTGTAATTGACAGCATAGCCGGTGACGTTGGTGAGAGGCTCCTGTGAGTTGGGGATCCACAGCAGCTCCACGGAGGACTTGGACAGCGCAACTGCATTTGACAGGACCGGCGGCTTGGGCGGCTCTGAGGTTACACAAGGTGAATATTACCGCTATATCATACTCTTATTTGTTTGTTTACTCCATAATGCTCGATATACTTGAGCTTTATCCAAACCCAGACTCCCCTTAGCACCTTGCACTTGACATTGGAAGGATTTTGTTTCGGTCTGCAATTTCTTTGATTCATAGAGGCCTGGTAACAACAGCTTCTTGTATTATGGGTATCAGGAGTACAATTCCATGATTCTCACTGTTCACTATTCAGCATGTGTAGTGCTAACACCTGTTAGAAAACCTAGACTTTATGATGTGTGGTTTGTTGGTTTGTTGTTTAACACCGCACTCAGCAATATTCCAGCTATATGGTGGCAGTCTGTAAATAATCTAGTCTGGACCACACAATCCAGTGATCAACATCATGAGCATCGTTCTACACAATAAGGATGTGATGACATGTGTCAACCAAGTCAGCGAACCTGACGACAAGCATGGGATACTGAAGTCCAATTCTAACCCGGATCTTCATGGGTATAGACTTAATGAAAAGCAGTGATCCTGGAGACCAATTCTGACATTATATTATCTCTGAAAAGTCGCAGAGGAGTAAATAAATGTTTGTAATACAACCATTCATATTGTGCTATGTTTTCAAACTACAATAGGGCATGTTGGGATCCCAACATTACTGTTACCCCGGTGAATGTATCAGTGTTAGGGGCAGTGGGGTAGCCTAGTGGTTAAAGCGTTCACTCGTCACGTGGAAGACCTGGGTTCGATTCCCTATATGGGCACAATGTGTGAAGCCCATTTCTGGTGTTCCCTGCCGTGATATTGCAGGAATATTGCTAAAAGTGGCGCAAAACTAAACTCACTCATTATCAGAGTTTAAGCGAATTTCTTTTCAGCTCCCTGGGGAGAATACCACACATAAACAAGTGAAGACAGTAGTGCTGGGAATCTCATAATTGATGATTGGTTCATTACTACCGATCAATCATCGAAAATAATTGGTTAGCGTCATTTATGAAATTTGTTAATGCACATTAAAATAAGGGAAAAAAATGTAGTTCTTCTGGGTTTTTGGGGCAAAATTTCACATCTTTAAAGGATGACTAGTATGTTAGGAACATAAATTTCTTGGAATCTTTAAGATAAATTCAATCATGACTTGAAACGAGTTTGTAGTGCTTACGAAATGTAACAGACAAAACCAACCTTGTGAAAAATATTGTTTATGAAAACAAGTGTTCGTGAATTGTTTGTGTTCGATTATGAGAAATTATGATCGATTGCTTGGTCGTTTAGTCACTACGACCAATCTTTGATTATTTCAATTAATCGGACCACCACTAGAGGACAGTGTCAGGTCTTACCTATAACATACACCTGAAGTGTCCTGGTGGCATTGCCCACATCGTTGCTCACACGGCAGCCATACAACCCTGGAGTGAGGAAACATCCCTTGTCATGTTGCCAGTAATAACAGCGAAAACAACTATAAAGACCCATATCTACTTCACATTTTTTTGTGGGCCACGGTAATTTGTAAATTGTGCCACAGCATTGTAGTACCTGGGTATGTTGTCAACAAATTCGGAATTCAACAAAAACAGACACTTAAAAAATATGGTGTCAGCGCCAATATTCAAACCATTCTGCATAAATACAGTCTTGTAATAAACAAATCGTGATCCAATCCCAGAAATGTCACTAAGAGCATGGTGAAAACCAAGTATTAAATATTGAAAAAAATTGAACATAAGTTTCCAAACTGAACCAAAAATTTCATCAACAAAAATAAAGAAATTATAAAAAAAGATATAAAAAAAAGGTCATCACATTTAGAACAAAAATTGCAAAGTAATGAGTCAGACACATTTTTCACTAATGTTGCTTTAGTTTATCAGATTTAAATCCTCTTCAACATTTTTGGGCGTCACCACTTTCAGCTTCATGGTCTTGATGTTTGCACAGTGAAGTAACCCATTTTGAGAGAATTTAAGCCATACATTAAAGCCATGCACAGTACTAAAACGCAAGGAAGTTATAACAATGGTCAAATTTCTTCACCCGTCATACCAAGAATAGCTGCAATATTGCCGATACAGCATAAAGCAACTTTCCCTCACTCACTCTTCACCCGTCACACCTGGCTGTCAGACTTACCTGCATCTTGTACTGTAGAGAACATTATCCTAAGCCTTTGTCGAGAAGGAAAAGTAACTCTCCCATCTAGAGTTTCCTGAATTACTTCCCCCTTGTGAGTCCACTCAACCTGTGGTGTTGGTGTTCCCCCATTTAGACAGTCCAGAAGGATTGTCTCCCCTTTGTCTACTATATTATTGCCAGTCACGTTCTTGATGGACGGAGGAACTGCAGCAGATACATACTTCATGAGGTTAAATGTTATAAAATTCCAACAAACTAGAAACCTGTGATTACACAATGCCATTTAGAAAGTGGTCAAATGTAACATATGTTATATTTGGGATTACACTTTCTCAGTAAAGTACAGATTCTAGTTCTAATGAATGGCATTGTGTAATCACAGCTTTCGGCCATGGGAGCCGTGCTAATGTACACCTATCAGAGGGAAACACAATGTCAGCAGTTTAGACTACCAGTTGTTCCACTTTCTCTTTTGTGGAAGTCACGATGGCTGTATGGGTTAGGCAGCTGACTTTGTTTGCTGGCGATATGGTGCCTGATTCCCCGATGTGACTCAACCCCAAAAGTACTAGAATCTGTACTTTACTAAGAAAGTGTAATCCCAAATATAACATATGTTAAACTAGAAACCTATTGTCAAAAGCATAATTGAAATCATTGTCAATATGAAAATGGTTTGTAAGGTCTCCATAAAGTTTGAAAATATATGTCCAATCTGAATGCAGTACAGACAGGTGTCAGTTAAAGAAAAGACTGTTTAGGATTCACAGGAGTTGTATGAACCCCAAAATGAAATTTGTGAGATCTCTGAAACTCTGAAATCAGTATTGCCTGAAACTGAAGCAATGTCATGAGCAGACCAAGGCCGTGCTGAAAACAGCATGAAATATGGTGCCAATTGTGAGGAATAATCTGAAAACTTTCTGGAACTAGGATGAGGTTGTTTACTGCTAGTGAAGATAACCCTGTATAGCCATTGGTGGAATGCTGTGTATACAAGCTCAGAGGTGAGGTGAAAGTGGGTTTAACGTCGTGCTTGAGAATATTTCGCTCATATGACGACGTGCATGCGTGTGTATGTGTACGTGTGGCTGCTTGTACTAGCCCAGACTTAAGTTGGTTTTATAGTGCTAGCCCACTGAGATACCACGCCGCAGTGAAGCATGAATACCCCACTCAGACACATTATACTGACTCCGAGCCGACCAGTCCTTGTTGTACCCATTAATGCCGAGCGCCAGAAAGGGACCAACAAGTACCATATTTTAACGTCTTTTGGTATGACGCGGTCGGGCATCGAACCCGCGACCTTCCACTCTCCGGGCGGACGCTTTAACCACTACACCACGGAAGCAGTCCAAGCTCAGATGATGCATTTTCATCAATAACTTAGTCTAAGCAATATACTATAACGGTTAAGCTAACTCATAAACATCACTGGGGGTTTATGCCTTTACAAGTACATTACAAACATGGCATAAATCTGTTACTACTTACATGATTTCAGAAGAAGGTAACCATTGTAGTGTCCAGTGCAACATTGTAAAATTCCAGACCAAAAACAGCCTGAATTGGGAAGCCATCCCAAAGCTAGTGTTCCAATAAAATTTATTGCAAAATTAGCTGCAAAAAACCATTGCAGAATATGATGATAAATGCCAAGGAATTTGAAGAATATCAATATTGAGACTTGTTATACAGGGTGCCCTCACCTTTGAGCTTGATTGTCCCAGACTTGCTGTCCAGACCGACGATGTTGGTGGCTACACAGGTGTAGGTCCCAACGTGGAGCCAGTCTACACGTGGGATCTTCAGCGTGATACGGTCCGACAACAGTGACACACCTTCCGGCAGATACTTTGTAGACTGCGTGATCAATAATAAAAATCCTGTACTGGCAGCTATTGATACATACACAGATTATTAGCTAAGTTCATCTATGTAATATAAATATCATCATAATATTAGATGGTATAATCTCCTAATATCATTCTTAAGATAGCTGAATGTTAAAACAATTTTTACCAATTTAATATAGTTTTACTACAAGACAAAATTAAGGACAAGGTCACATTTTTTCCTCATCGATCAAAAGTGAATTACTCTGATCATCATGCAGTAACTCTGATTATCATACAGCACCTCTGATTACCATACAGCACCTCTGATTTCCATGCAGTACCTCTGAGTATTATACATAACCTCTGATCATCATGCAGTAACTCTGATTATCATACAGCACCTCTGATTACCATGCAGTACCTCTGAGTATTATACATAACCTCTGATCATGCAGTAACTCTGATTATCATACAGCACCTCTGATTACCATGCAGTACCTCTGAGTATTATACATAACCTCTGATTATCATGCAAGTACCTCTGATTATCATACAGTAACTCTGATTATTATACAGTCCCTCTGATTATTATACAGTACCTCTGATTATCATACAGTAACTCTGATTATTATACAGTACCTCTGATTATTATACAGTACCTCTGATTATCATACAGTACCAAATGATTTGTAGCCATGCTTGCTAACACAATTCTAACCTCATTGGGAACACTAGGCAATCAATTACTCATGTTACCGACATCAACATGCAGGCATGACATTCATATATGGAGCTTATAGAAAGTAAACCATCCTGCTGGGTGACATTGTTTGCAGATTTTCCCTGTCATGACAGCGATGTCATTGAGGTGTTTTAAAGCATGAATATCATATCTGTTTTCTTAGTATTATAAAACAAATGAGTGAGTTTTGTTTTACGCCGCGCTCAGCAATATTCCAGCTATATAGCGGCGGTCTGTAAATAATCGAGTCTGGACCAGATAATCCAGTGATCAACAGCATGCGCATGGTTCTACGCAACTGGGATACGATGACATGTGTCAACCAAGCCAGAGAGCCTGACCACCCAATCCCGTTAGTCGCCTCTTACGACAAGCATGGGTTGCTGAAGATCTTTAGGAAAGACATGTTAATGATGATTTACCACATTAAGTATCTTGACATACTCACATTAAGTATCTTGACATATTCACATTAAGTATCTTGACATACTCACATTCAGTATCTTGACATACCCACATTCAGTATCTTGACATACCCACATTCAGTATCTTGACATACTCACATTCAGTATCTTGACATACTCACATTCAGTATCTTGACATACCCACATTCAGTATCTTGACATACCCACATTCAGTATCTTGACATACTCACATTCAGTATCTTGACATACTCACATTCAGTATCTTGACATACTCACATTCAGTATCTTGACATACTCACATTGAACCGCCACTGTATCGTAGGGGAGGGCACTCCTTGAGTGTTGCAGGCTTGGAGTACTGACTGACCAATCACAACCACCTTGTCCACTGGACCTTTAGTGATCTTGGGTGGAACTGGTACATCAAGAACTTATTTCAGCATTGACAAATTGCCATAAAATTCTTAAAAGGCATTTATAAGTTGGACGAACATGAACATATGATACGTTTTTATGGATAGCGACTTCTATTTATTTTATTGTATTCACCTGATGAAGCAGCAAGTATTAGATCTGAAACGTTGTGTAAAGAATAAAAAGAAGTTATAATCCATAAAAACATGTCATGTATTCAAATTGTCATAATGCCATTAACATTATTTTGCTAAACCCTGTCTCTGATATAAGTAGTTCACACGTACAAGCCAAACCCAAATATGTCTGTAGTTCTAGGACACTTAAGTATTTATTTCAGCAGTATCAGAGCAGATTCTTGAGAGGCATTTAGAAGTTGGTGAATATCACCTGAAGAAGGGGCAAGAAGTAGCCCAGAAACGTTGTGTTATACAATGAACAAGAAGTTGCCCTCCATATACTCGTCTGGTAGTATCAGAGCAGTGGACACCAGAAACTGGCTACACAGTCAGACAGTTGAACATATACTGGTAGGTGGAATCTGATACCAAATCTTGTTTTTCATGTAATACAGATCCAAATGGCATCACAACTGCATGCAAAACACATCAATATCTTATGAAACTGGCCTACCCTGGACAGAGAGTGTTCCATTAGCCCAAGTCCCTCCAGCTTCGTTATCGGCTCTACAGGCATAGTGTCCCTGGTCGGCCGCCGTCACGTTCTCTATGTACAACGACAGGTTCACAGTGGATCTGCGGCCATCTTCTTCAATCTGCTTCCCATCTGGAACAGGTATCCCAGCAAATTAACAACTGCTTTATATTATATCATTTCTCTTTGAAGTTATTAAAAATGTTTTTCATTTCTGTGCATGCTTCTGAACTAAGGTGATTTGGTCTACTGGAAATATGTACCAGTAATGTTAACTGAAGATGTATGTCTGTCTGACCTACCTGTGAACCAGTGAGCATCTGGTCTGGGATCGCCATACACGTCACAAGGCAAGATGGCTGTGTCACCAGACGTCACGACAATGGTACCAAAATCTTTCAAAGTCACTGGTGGGACTGGAAAAAAGTGCTTCTTAATTGAAAAACAATATTACTAAAAATGGAAAAGGATTCTGACATCAAAAGTTTGAACAATAACTGGTTCAACACGTTATTCCTTCTGTTCTACACCACACTCAGCAATATTCCAGCTATATGGCAGCGGTCTGTAAATAATTGAGTCTGGACCACACAATCCAGTGATCAACAGCACGAGCATCGATCTACGTAATTGGGATACGATGACATGTGTCAACCAAGTCAGCGAGCCCGATCCCCATCCGATCCCGTTAGTCGCTCCTACCACAAGCATGGTTTACTGAAGGACAATTCTAACTCGGATCTTCATGGGTCTCTGCTTTTAAAGCAATAAAGTAGACACTTGATAGGCTAGCCAAGAAGTGTAATTTTATTTATATTTCCACGAACAGGATTAAATTACGCCCCACCCACTAATGGAATACAGCTTCATTTTTACAGGCAATTTCTTACACAGAGGGGCTAGATTTGAGAAGCCCTCTTAGCGCTAAGATGTCGTAAGTTAATGTTAATGTATGGCACTTACGACTATCTTAACGCTAAGAGAGCTTCGAAAATCTAGGCCTTGTTGTCTGGTGTATTTTTTGTAATAAGTAAACAGCATGTGAAGTTGCTATTGTTGGTATTGTTTCTGAAGAATTGACTTAAACATATTTTGGCACTTATGTATGTTTAAATGTAGCTTATAGCTTCATATACACAAGGACATACTAAAGTCAATGCTTCATCACATGACATTATCTACTGTCATGAATAATGTACATTTTTACATGTCTTTACATGTCACTGAAGAACTGATAAAGGTGAGAGAGTTCAGAGAGTTTTACTTCTGAACACTAGGGGTTTACCTTGACCTACAAAACGATTGGTCCAGACGACCCCGGTTACGAGTTAAATAGTATAGTGTACTGAACCATAAACCTTAGTAACTAGTAGAATTACAGAAATCTTTCCAGAAATCTCACCTGTCAAGAATTAATTACAAAGAATATTATCTCGCATCCCTCTGGATATTTTTTGTGCATGCTTTATGATTTTTGTGTGTAATGGACGCACATTACTGCATCGCGTAAAACCCTTCAATACTATATCTGGTTTCGTCTTGCTTTTGTTTTGTTAGACCAGTTTGTATATAATATACTAACACTTTAACCATACACAGATATCCTCTCTGCAGTGTAGGGGTCAACTAAAGGTCAAAATATTCATCCATGATGGTGAAGGCTCAGGTTATATTCCCCACATGGGTGTAATGTGTAAATCCCACTTTGGGTGTTGCAGGCCATGATATGAATTTAAAACTGCTAAAGGTGGCATAAAATCAAACTCACTCACTCACTCACACTGGAGGGATGATACACTCCGGACTTCAGTCAAGCCACTAGAACTACAAGTTTTTCTTTATGTTTTACATGCAAACAGGAAAATTTGGTTTTCTATTGCAGGTTCAGATTATGCTTGTACTAGACTGTATATACATACCAATGACAATGACGGAAACATTGACGGACTTGGTTCCGTACACATTGTGTGTAATGCAGGTGTACCTTCCTTCATGGGACTTGTCAACATTACTGATAAATAGTTCCTGGTTACTGGCCCTGAAACCACAAAGAAAAGAGGAGGAGATGAAACGAGTGGACAGGTAAATGAGCGAGGGAGTGAATGAGGTAATTAGAGCATGAGTAAGTCAATGAGTTCATATGTAGGGGGGCGATATAATTAGCGAAAGAGTAAGTGAGTGAGTTTAGTTTTACACCTCACTCATCAATAGTCCAGCTATATGACGGCGTGAGTGAGTTGATGAGTTCATATGTAGGGGAGCGATATAATTAGCGAAAGAGTAAGTGAGTGAGTTTAGTTTTACACCTCACTCATCAATAGTCCAGCTATATGACGACGTGAGTGAGTTGATGAAGGAGTGAATAAGTAAATAAGGATAAAGTTGCCGTCAATGCCCTGTTGAGAGCACGCTTTCATGACATGTCCGATGAACATGCAAGGAACGCTTGAATAAAAATGGTTGTAGATGTGTTGCCAACTACAACGAGTAAGATTACTTATTAGTTGCAATACTCCAGTCGTGGGAGTCTGTAAATATTTGTGTCCGGAGAGACATGATGACATGTTATCAAACCAGTCGGCAACAAGTCTATGATCAGTAAACACCAAGCCCCTGAATTACCGTGTGAGTGGGTGGAAGGTATGTTCAAGGTGTATATTAAATCAGGTCTAGACAAACCAGTGATTGGGCACTATCCCTGGGTATGACACCCAATGACAGACTAACCTGAAGCTAATCTGACTGGATGGTGACAGTTTCCTTCCATGGAACAACCAAGAGACTGTCGGAGTGGGTGAACCTTGCACTTGGCAGGTCAACTGCAGTAGTCTCCCTTTGATAACTCTCTGGTTCAGTGGAGGTTCAGTGAATATTGGTGCACCTGTGGAGAAGAAAACCAAGAGGAAATGAACAATGTTTATTGTTGCAAAGTCCCAGCTGGATCCCAGCAGCATGTAAATAAGAGAGTCGCAACAGAATCAGCTACTTGTATAGTTCTAGCTACATCATGTACATCATGATCATAAGAAAAGCAAGATTTATGGATGTGAACTTCTTTATCGTGAATAACACGACATTTCAGAGTGTATGCTTGATCCTTCATCATGATCATATTTTTAAAGCATGCAACACAATCTAAAATTGCAGGGTCACAATGTTGCTGGAATATTGCTAAAAGCTTTGAAACCAAACTCAGTCAGTCAGTCATCATAATCATGCTTGAGGGCAAAGGTGCTTGAGAAAAGGTGAATGATCCCGCTCCAGAAACAAACACTCAAAGTCAAAACGCACCTTGTACTGTAACTGTGGCCACCCTGGACGTTCGACTGGTGGGGACGGAGAGAGAGTTCTCAGCCACACAGAAATAGTCTCCCTCATCATCAGCTTGCACAGACTGAAGTTGTAGGTCCCACACTCCAGCACTGGGGGATATTGACTGTAATGGCTGATAGTCTCTATACCATGTGACTCGAGCAGGAGGTATGCTGATTGGTGGAACACATTTCAAGGTCAAGGACTGGCCAGCAAAGATGGTTGCATCACTTGGTTCAGCTTGAAAGTCTACATTCAACACTGAAATCACAGTCAACAAGAAAACATTGTCACTATTGCCCATCATTGTCAGATTAGAATTATGTGAGGTGAGGTGAGGTGAAATTGGGTTTAACGTCACTTGACATTTCTAATATGAATACTAGCCCAGACTAAGCTGGTTTTAGTGCTAGGAGATACCATGCTGTGAAGCATGAATACCCCACTCAGACACATTATACTGACTCCTCGAGAAGACCAGTCCTTGTTGTACATTAATTCTGCACTACCATATTTTAACGCATGAGTTCGGGGGATCGGCGACCTTCCGCCTTCCAGGCGGACGCTCTAACCACTACACCATGGAGGCGGTCGATTAGAATTATGTTTGTTCACATACTAATATGAATAATATGGAGATATGTGTGTTTGTTATTTAATACAGCACTCAACCATAGTTCAGGTTTATGGCTGTGAATAATCGATTCTGGACCAAACAATCAAGTGAAAAACAGCATAAGCATTGATCTATTGGGAACGATGACATATGTCAGCGAGCCTGACCACCTGTTTTTGTTAGTCGCACCTTACGACATGCATGTCTTGCTGAAACACAATTCTAACCCAGACTTTCAGGGGTATAACATGGAGACTAGGTCATAGGCACAAGGGTTGCCATGTCACCAGGAAATGTTTTATTAAAAGAGAAATAAATACACACAAATAGACCCCTTCTCTAGAAAAAAGTCATTTATGGGACCAATATTTGAACTCAGCCTTGGGTAACTTAGTCATTGAGAATACATGTCCCCATTACAAAACTGTGTAGGACCAAGAATATATATAATTTATGGCACCAAGGTTTTTATATTGATAAGTATTTTATAGACAAGCAACTTTTATTCATGCAACTTCAGTGGTCTGAAGGAAGCATGGATAAAAGGGCCTTAACTCCGTAAAAGGTTGATTTGATTGCAACCAGTATCATCAGTATGCAAAATATCAGGTCTCTAAGTTGGAGATGACTTATACCCACTTTAACTCACTTTAGATCATGACTGATAACATAACTGTATAAGCAGGGATAGAAATACTTTTTTTTCTAAGTGTGCCTTAGGGCACCAGACAAATATTTTAGGTGTGCTCTAAGTTGAGATGACTTATGCCCACATGTTTGTAGAATAAATAACTGATGATGATCATTTGAAATCATTGTTAAATAAAGAAATGGGTTTATGAGCATTCAAATATGTAAGGTATTATTCAATTTCTAACTTTCTGAGAAAAACAATTAGTCCCCATTTCATTTCTCATTTACCGTGCCATGGCACACTAGTATATGCTATTTCAGGAACCCTGCTAAGTTTGAATTTTCTAAATCTGAAAAATTTGTCCCCAGCAGGCAGCAAAGGCCTTAACTCTCTCCCAGAAAATTACAGACACAAATTTACACCCTCATTTTACATAATGACCAGTTTTAGTTCTACAAATTATAAGGCATTTGACCAAATTTGTCCCCACTGAGAAACGGACAGATGGGAAAACAGAAGCATAGATGGACAAACTCTGTTCCTATATCCCCTACTCCATGTCGTGGAAGGGAATCATAATATGAATTCATCCACTATGGACTACCTGTCATTGTTTGAAGATCAATACACCACTATAAAGCATGTATTAGTCCTCTGAGATAAGGTGAACAAGGGGATTTGAATATGTTTCATTATTGATAAAACCCAAAGAATAACACTGCTATGTATTACACAATAACACTGCTATGTATTACACAATAACACTGCTATGTATTACACAATAACACTGCTATGTATTACACAATAACACTGCTATGTATTACACAATAACACTGCTATGTATTACACAATAACACTGCTATGTATTACACAATAACACTGCTATGTATTACACAATAACACTGCTATGTATTACACAATAACACTGCTATGTATTACACAATAACACTGCTAACACAATAAATAACACTGCTATGTATTACACAATAACACTGCTATGTATTACACAATAACACTGCTGTGTATTACACAATAACACTGCTATGTATTACACAATAACACTGCTACTGCTAATAACACTGCTGTTACACAATAACACTGCTATGTATTACACAATAACACAATAACACTGCTATGTATTACACAATAACACTGCTATGTATTTCCTCAAACTACTGCCCCATTTACACTGTACTGCACTGTACTGTTGAAGGCTGGTATCAGTGCAATCTCTGTAACTCAAGTTTCACTCAGTCCAGTTTGTCACCAGGATGTATTTAGGCAGAAGATTCAAATCTGATTCAAATGTCATAACAAATTTGAAAATTAGAAATTAATTCTAAACAATTCCAACCTTATGTTCCGTAACTGTAATATCTAATGTTATGAGTGAGTGAGTATAGTTTTACCCCACACTCAGCAATATTCCAGCTATATGGCGGTGGTCTGTAAATATCCAGTGATCAACAGCATGAGCATCAATCTGTGCCATTGGGAACCGATGACATGTATCATCCAAGTCAGCGAGCCTGACCACCCGATCCCGTTAGTCGCCTCTTACTACAAGCATGGGTTACTGAAGATCAATATTCTAATCCGGACCTTCACGGGGGTATCTAATGTTATGACTTTCCATAGGAGCTAACAGGACCACAAAGGGAAAAACATTCCCCAGTGTCACGTGACTAAAATGAACATCAGGCAAATATAAATTCTAAGAGTCCATGTATTCAGTCTGAGTGTCCTGGAGTAAAATGGTGTTGTGCACTGTATGTTGAGATAATTCCTTCAGTGGAATGAATCAGTGATCATGTACACAGTGGTGATGAATGAAACAACATACATCAGTTACCATGGTTACTGCTCTTGATGAGCATGATAAGTGGAAGGTGGGTGGTATAATATCCGTCCCCATCAGTACAAAAGGCATTAAAACAACTTGCCCACTCACATCAAGAATGCTGAATCTTTGGACACATTTAAATCGTCTCTAAAAACCCACTTTTTTCGTCATGCCTATTACTAGACTTTCTATGTTCAATTGTCTCTCTGTAAATAGTTTTAACTATTTTCTTTTCTCCTATAGTATTGTAGCGCCATGAGCGATGGGTATTAGTACCTGGATGTAGCGCTATATAAATACCCACATTATTATTATTATTATTATTATTATTATTAAAAAAATCAGTACTTTCTGCTGGCACTCGACTGCCAGAAGGGTTTTTCAAAATTTCTAAAAACTTGAGGAACAGGAAAGTATATGAGAATTTTCTCCAAAGCTGGATAACAATTGCTGGTCCCAGAAACCTTTCATTCTTTTGGCACAGAAAATTAGTGAGAGGGGTTGTCACAGAATGAGATTTTGACAAAATATATGGTGAGAACCTGCCTTAGCCAAACACATTTAACTCTCAACAAAAAATGCTTAAGCTCCTTTTTGGAAACTTAGAAATAGCTTCCCCTTTTGCTTGAATGTCACCTAAAATTTAAACCAGAGCTGGTGCAAATTCACATTTAATTGAATTTACAGTCAACTTCATTGAGTCTCTGAGCATATCTGCCATATGAAGAAGACCTCAGCAAAAACTTTGGTAATAACTTAAACCTGAATCTTCTGTTAAGGAATAGCCCCTGGACACGTTGATACATAAGATAAAACTTAGCAAAGTATGTTTCTTATTATTATATATAATTATGTTTGAAAACTCAAGACATGAACAACTGATGGAGTTTCCCGACTCGTAAAACTGCAAGTTTGCTCGATTGTCTTGATCGCTGCATCAATAGGTACCTGTTTTGTTTGCAGTGTTATGACTGTGTCCCGTTATTGTCCACAAGAGTTTTGTGATGGGGTTTACGACTATAATCAATTATTGATTGACTTTTGATCAATTATTGATTGATTGCTGATCTCTGATTATCGATCTGCATATTGTGAACAAATAACAGTACTAGGGTTGGGTATTGCCAAAATGTTCGTATTGCGATATATTGTGATATGTGTTGGCGTATTGCAATATGTATTGAGGTATATTGTGAAAGTATATAACACATGGTTTAAGGTAGTTAAATTTCTGTTTCCTTTCTTTTGAAACAATGCCACTGGCCACTGTCAGGACTCAGATGTGATTGTACAAGAGATCAGTTGAAAATGTTTCCAAATTGAAGACTTCGCTCTAAAGTTTGGAACTCGAGAAAAAGCGTTTGCAGCGGCGTCCGCCATTTTGGTTTGCCGGTACCAATATATTTTATATATAAATGGTTTAAAAGTCACGCAAATGCAATTATATGAACAATAAACATTCTCAAAACTATTAGTGTCTGATAATATAAAGGAAATACAAATGTTATTAGTAGTTTTTACATCACGAAAATTACCGATAGTATCGGGTGATCTGGTTCGCGAAAAGTGTACCGCAATATATCGTACTTTGAAGTTCGAATTGCAATATACAGGTTAACCGGTATTATCGCCCACCCCTAAACAGTACTAATTACAACATTGTTTAACAATAAAACACCCCACCCTATGACAAATAGAGACAAATAGAGAGATTCTCTGACATTCTACAATACCATGTATCATATTCCATTTTTAGTCAACTGGCACAAAGATAAAAAAAAAATTCTGATAAAAGATGCATGATTGGAATTTCTCTAAGACTCCACACATTCTGATAGGTTTCAATATTAGAAGTTGTTCACTGGTCTCGAGGGGGATATGGGCTGATGTACCCTAATGTTTGTTTATGTTCCCTGAGCCTGAACACCTCAATGGTAATTTTGAACTGTTTGAAGCACGGGTATCGGATCATAGTATGGAGTACCAGACGACAAGATGACAAGAAAAACAAATTTAGAGTTATCTCCCTTCCATCGATTTGCATTCACAAAACATCGGTAATTTCCGTACATCATGCGTGATTCAATGTTATTCGAGATAAAGAATTACTACTACGAAGTACCAAATGAGTTCGGCATTCACAGCGGGGTACATAGAAAATGTTACTCGCTTGTAAGCAGGGTACATTGAAAATAACAGAAGAGCTCTTAGCGAATCAGAAAACGACTTTTATGTGTGAGGATAGATAAATGAAATTACCTACCTGTGACAGTAACATTAGACGGAGCTGACGTGACAGTTCCCACAGCGTTAACGCCTTGACAGTAATATATCCCAGCATCCTCTAGTAACACTCGCGTGAATATCAGACTTCCATTGTAAAATATGTAACTTGTAGAACTCCCATTGATACTGGCATCATTTCTGAACCATAAAACAAGTACATCTTTGCCCTGTACGAGGCAGTCCAACACCAGGGATGTGTTGACGGGGGCAACGACTTCGGCAGCAGGAGGAGCCAGCAGAACTGGCAGCGTGGCGACATCTGGAGCAGACATGACACACTATCTATTAAGGCTGTAACGATTCACTCGCATATTCGGTGAATCGAACCGTAGCCCTTCATGAATTCAATTCGTTATTTGTGGTCACCAGAACCGAATATTAACAAATATTTACGATTTTTTTAAGGGAGCATGTTTTACTTGAACCCTTATGTCCTTTTCCAAAGTGAGATATGCAAGAATGGAACATGTACTAGCATTGCAGTAGTGCAAGTCATGTTAGTTTGCCAAGACCGCACATGGTACGGTCGATTATAACTATAACATACCAAATTTGAGTGTCATGAGATCACTGGTTATTGCTGTGAAAAATTAACACAGGGTATTGGTGGTGATTAGTAGACTCAACATGGAATTTCCGGCTCAAATACACACGGTAATCTAAATCCCTGCAAAAACAACTTAGTACATATTATGCATCAATCACTTAACTACAATATACTTAAGAAACATCTATAATTGTAGACATGTGTTTTACTGATGAAAATACCAAAAAACTTATAAGGGGGTAGTGGGGCGTTATTTGATACACACACTAACTGCCTGTAATACGTCATCAGCATCCATCACTTAACTACTTCACATATATTCAACCGGGTCTTGGTGATTTAACCACTAGGCTACCCACTGCCCGTGTTTGTTTTGAAATACCCATACGAATTACTGTACATTGGAAAGAATCCTATCACTTTATGTTATCTTATCGATTGATTGTAGAAATGATACAGCGCTTTTAATAAAATATGTCAACAGTTGTATACATAAGTTGTGTATTTGTTGCAGCACTACTATCTATATATATACTAAATAGTGGCTTATGTGACTTAGCAACCTACAACAGTCACAAGTATATGTTAAATCATAGGAGTCATTGCTACCACAGGGAATGATTGTGATAACTTATCTACATCGGACTTTGTAAGCTGGCGGTTAGGTGCCTGACTCTGAGAGGGTGGGTACAAATCCCGAATGGGCCACAACCAAATAAAAGTTCTAGAATCTGAATCTGAATGCGTAATCCCAAATATAACATGTTGTCTACCTCTGCTTAGATACCGCTATTTGATCACAAGCTCACCACATACACAAGTAAAATTTCCTTAAAGGAATAAAGGAATCACAATGTACGCTTTGGTCAATGGTATTATTGACTTGTGATGGGTGGTCAACATGGCTTGATAACAGGACCCAACAAAGATGACGAGGATACAATTCTTACTTTACCTTATTATGATTAATAACAAAACAAAAACATTTTGTATTTCACGAGGCTTTGCCAAACATATTTTACATTCGAATAATTATACTTTGCATGTTTCCATGTGTCTTCTAGAACAGATTTGCTATAGCTGGTGTAACCTACAAATTTGAAAACATTGCAACTAACATCAGTTCAAAACTCACTGGGTGTGTTAAACTTTAGTTAAAAAGAAACTAAATAATTGCAAAACATAACAACTACACAACTCCATCAGCAAGCAAATTAGGAAAAGATATTACTTTGTGAAAAAGGGGATTGTTTTGCTTTATTGAGAGGTGTTTTAAACTGCGCTATAACACTGCAGTTGGTGCCATAATGTCAAACAGAGCAATAAAGCCTCTTCCAAGGTACTGATCCAGTTATCAATGAAATACAATTTGACATCATCTCTACAAAGTCATAAATCAATCATATCACTTATACAATATGTTTACTTCTTTGAGTCCAATATTGGAAGTTCTTCAAAGGCACTTAGAAGTTCACCTGATGAAGGAGCAAGAATTGGCAGTGAAACGTTTCATAAAGAATAAAATAGAAGTCGTTATCCATAAAACGTGTCATGTATCCAATACTGGAGTGAGTGAGTGAGTTAAAATTTAAAGTCACTTTGGCAATATTTCAGCCATATCGTGACTAAAACAAGTTATAGATTAACAATAAGTAATGATAGATTATAAAATCCTGTAAACGAAGGACAGTAAAACAAATAGAACATCACAGATATAAATGTAAAACTAGCAATTAAATCTAAAACATTTTTACTATAGAGGACAACACAATATAAAAACTAGGCTCCAATACTGGAACCTAAGAAGATCTAGATGTAGGACTGCTGGAACATATGTACATTATATTGGTCCACAATACATCCAAGCACATACCTTTCAGGAATATTGCTGCATCTACACTACTGATATTCCGCTTCAAGAGCGTGTTTAGCGCCATGCAGCGGAGGATTCCAATATTGGTCCTGTCTATAGTGAGGATCAGCTTCATGGAGTATTGAGCACTGAGCCCTGTTGCATCGTAGTCTCCGTAGGAGGCAGTTATCTGTTCCCCACCCAGGAACTCCTTGCCATTGAGATCCCAGTACACTCTAGGATAGGGAGCGCTTGAACCTGTGATGCACTCAAATGTCACGGACGTGTTGACTTCTACTCGAACTGATGCTGGGCTCAGCTGGAACTTGTTGATATCTAAAATTACAAACAAAAACGCTGTGAAATCAAATTACAGGAATAAAGGGGGCAATTTCTGTATGCCAACGTCTGTATTATGAGATGATGTCGTGTTCATCACAATACAGAAATGTTCCCCCTTCATGTGCATCACTTGTAAACGTTTCAAAGATCATAGCAATGATCCAGACCAGTATCCTGAAGAGAGACTTGTAACATTGCAAATATGGAAATAATGCCTTTCAAATTGTAATAAGTCTAGATCTATTGCAAGTATGAATGAAGCCCTACTCAAACTTGAAACAATATCTTTTAAGTCAATTATAACTATGTATGTATAATATAATAGGCACACTGGCAGGAAAACTACACAAGATTACACATGATATGTTTATGTTGCTTTAACTGACATTAGTTGCAATCCTCAATATTTGAGCCATATGTCACTTGGGCGTAAGAACTGAATCTGGAGTGAGTGAGTGTGAGTTTAGTTTTACGCCGCATTTAGCAATATTCCAGCAATGTCACGGCGGGGAACACCAGAAATGGCGTTCACACATTGTACCCATGTGGGGAATAGAACATGGGTCTTCGATGTGACGAGCGAACTCCTTAACCACTAGGCTACCCCACTGCCCGAATCTGGACCAGACAAACCAGCGGTTGACATCATGAACGCTGATCTGCTTTGTTCTTTGAACCGAAACTTTTGAAGCCTGGACACGACACTGATAGACCTGTTGCGGCTTTCAGTGGAACTGTTCTTAGTCACATCAGGGCAAAAGATCTGATTCTTATGAAAGTGGTGCTGTGAAGTATGTTCATTTCAATATCAGCAAACATAATACTTACAAGCCAAAATGACTGTTGCGGTTTTTGAGACAGGTGAAACATTTCTTGAGCTTGAGATGACACAATCATAAAGGCCAACATCAGACGATGAATACTGTGGAATCAGCAGCGAATTGTTCCCAAATATTGCAGCTTTTGTCTGTATCTGGCTACCATTGAACCTCCATTCATAGACCAGAATCCTTCCTGCTAAGTCCTTTACCTGACAGTCCAGGCGGACATCATGGCCCTCTATCACAGCCTGGCTCTGTGGACGGTGCAGCCATTCTTCACAAACAGGAAAATAAACATCAGTTTAAAAAAATTTAAGAGATGTCAACTTTTATGAATGAGAACTGCAAATAATAAATTCAATTTCTACTTAAGAAATCCAAGTTTAAAATCTGTAAACAAGAAATTATTGCACATGCTTCTCTTGACTGCCTTGTTTGTTGTTGTTATTGTTGTTGTTGTTGTTGTTGTTGGGTAACACTACATTCAGTAATATAGGTGAGGTGAGGTGAGGTGAGGTGAGGTGAGGTGAGGTGAAATTGGGTTTAACGTCGTGCTTGAGAATATTTCGCTCATATGACGACATGCATGCGTGTGTATGTGTATGTGCGGCTGCTTGTACTAGCCCAGACTGAAGCTGGTTTTATAGTGCTAGCCCACTGAGATACCATGCTGCAGTGAAGCATGAATACCCCACTCAGACACATTATACTGACTCCGAGCCGACCAGTCCTTGTTGTACCCATTAATGCCGAGCGCCAGGCAGGGACCAACAAGTACCACATTTTAACGTCTTTTGGTATGACGACTCTAACCATTACACCACGGAGGCGGTCTCAGTAAAATAGCGGCTATATGACAGCTGTATATAAACAACCAAGTCTGGACCAGACAATACAGTGATTGATATTCTGAGCAATGACACTGCCGATCAACCAAGTTATTTTGTTTGTTTGTTTGTTTGTTTTACACCACACTCAGACATATTCCAGCTACATGTCAGCAGTCAGTAAAACATCAAGTCTGGACCTGACAATCCAGTGATCAACTGCATGAGCATTGATCTATGCCTACCCAATCCCATTTGTCCCCTCTCATGACAAGCATGGGTTGCTGAAGACCAATTCTAACCTGGATCTTCATGGTACAACCAAGATACTGAGCCTGGCCACCCGATCCACTTGGTCACCCCTGTGACCTGCATAGCTAGTGAGAATCTATTCTGCCTTGAAATCTTCACGAAGGACTCTTAATGTTAACTGACCTATTTGAGAGGAAACGACTGGCAGCAGCAGAAGACGGAGCAATGCTGACTGAAGATTCATCCTCGCTTTACTACCTGGCAATCTGTAAAGACAATAAACAAAACACATTGAGATAACTAACTATGAAGGATTCTAAATAAGCCCTCAGCAGACAAATTAGGAAAATCTGATTATTTTGTTCAAAACTTGATTTTGTAAGGTTCTTATTTGCTAAAGAACATGTGTAATATTTTCAGAGTTTTAGCACAGCATAAAATACAATCAAATAGAATTAAGCATTCCTCTTCATTTCTATTGGTCCTGTTATCAGAGACATATGACTAAACCATTCTAGTTATGGATAAAATAACATGCATTAGGAAATACTGAATTCCCATTTGGGATCTTTTACTGACATTCGTTGCAGATTTGGAGGACGAATATCAGCCAGTAAGCAGATCTGGACAAAATCCTGTAACCGCCAACTTGTTCATTTCTTGTATGAAGCATTTACACAAGCTTATGAAAGAAGTTTTACAAGTGTCTCTAATATTCAACATTTACTTACAGCCATCCAAAATGTCCTGAAGGTGAATGTTAATAAAGTAGAAGAATGTCCCACCAAATGTTGATAAAAATTATGAAAATATTTTTGCACTAATCACAGTGCCAAACAAAACCCCTGGATGATGACAGAATGTTAGGCTGTGAACAATCTGTGCCAGTGTTACAAAGTAAATGTCAATCAATAAACTGCGGAACATTCTATAGACTATTAATCAGGGTCCATCTGGCCATCTGCCATGAAGCCAATACCTATCCTCTCCTTAATGATTCATAAGTACATCTGCCTAGGAAATTAATTACACAAGTCTGAGGTCCACGCATCAATTATGCAGCATCACTAGGTGTGTTATGCCGAGAGACGAGTGAACAATCAAAACACACTTGGACCTTCACAAATCTAACATAATATGCATAGTTTTAATACTATTTGTCTGAAATTCACATGCTTCCTATTACATATGAAATACCTACTTGTGAATTACAGGAAAATCGTAACCATGACTTTGACAAAAGTGATTCGCCTATTGTTAAAGGTATCCATAAGGCAAACATTCCTATACTTCATAACTTGTCTGTGTTATCATATGAGGGCAACTGTTGAGCAAATAAATGCTTTTTCTACAAATTATTATTTTTCAATCTCTAAAGACAAAACAATTTTTGGGAAATGTCATCATCACATTCACTTTTCTTTGCAACCAAGAGTGAATATTTAATTGAAAGAGGGAATAATAAACATATGAGAACATAACACAGCAAAAATATTTTCCCTACATGAAATGAATAATTCAGAATTAATGAAACATATTTGATTTGGCGGAAACAAATATATTTTAAGGGGAATGTGTAACTAAAACATAAAAGTAAAATTTCACTTAATAATATACCTTAAGATACATATGTATAACTTAAACCTTCGTACACAATGAAAACTGAAATGACAGTTATGAACCGTACGTCATTATCCTATTATGTCATGCAAGCTTCTATTATAATTAGTCGTCTAATCATCAGGCATGCATGTAATTAAACTCAAAATACATCAACAACTGATCAAATGTTATGTTTTGTCCAATCTAAAGATGCCGCTTTAGTGAGTTTGCTTATTCCCTAATGCAAATGAAATAATTTACACATGGCTGGAACATTTGAGTGTTTGAAGAAAGAGACCCTCCCCCTAAATCAACCAATCCAATCAATATGAAGGAAGACAGGCACAGGTAGATCTACGAATGATAGATACCTACCAGTATGCATATGCATGATAGTCACATCAAACTGTCGTTCAAACTGTCTTTTCGCTTACAATGTCCATCTACCAGAAAATGTCGTTTCCTTGGCGACAGTTATTCTGAAGACATGACATATAATCCGGTTTCGGTACCATGTGTGATGTATTTTGGTACCGCCTTCCGTGTGTATCACGTGATATATTCATAATACGCACAATTTGTGACGTTTTGTGGACGATTTCGTTCAAAACTATTTTCCTAACTAATTATTTCAAAGGATTAGTAGTGTAGCGATTTTCAACCTTGATAATTAGGGGTGAAAGGCAGGAATAATTACGCCCAGTTAAAAAACTTGTACACAAAATTTAGTAAATAAAAATCAAGTATAATAATGTTACTGAGAAATTTTTAGCAGTCCTTTTTAAATACCGTTCAAAGGCTAGGCAAGTCGACCTGTACGACGGTGTAACAAGGGGTGCATTTTATATGATGAGTATGACCAGGGTAATCTTTAACAAGTACACTGGCATGAAGTAGTTAACATAAGTAATTGAAAGTGTTTGTTTTGTTGTTGGTGACCATATGGTAAACAGGCCGAATGCATAGTAATTGACGTTACTTCAGGACAATATATGTTCTTCATTAACGCTGAAGGGGTCGTTGTCGGCACAGGTACTACAGATATGTACCCCAGGTACATTTCTGTATACAGACATGTACCCTAAACAAAGTCAAACTAAAGAAACGTACCCGGTACCCTAAACGACGGACGAGTCCATATTCCGCGACCCAATACCGAAACCGTATACATGTAGTTATTCCCGTTCAGCTGATTGCGAGTGGTGTACGTTGTGCACCGTGAAATATTCGTTATACTGTGTATGCTCTTATATAACGCAATCAAATGCATCTAATACAACAGTATGACAGTTCCGATCAAGAAAACTCCACAATGCAGAATGGAATCGTCCTAGGGTACATTTCTGTATTCTGATTATGGCCAGGGTACATTTCTGTATACAGAAACGTACCTGGCGTACACATCTGTAACCGTGCCGACAACGACCCTTTCAGCTTCAGTAAAGGTATGATTCGGTGCTAAAATTTTGCTGGCAAAATTTACATGCATTTGTCATATTGATATGTGTTTCTGATTCTTTGATTTGGCTTGTTTTGATATTTCAAAGCTGGGAAAAGCTTAAGGTTATCAATAACTTATGATACCAAGCATGGAAATCAAATAATTAAAATCAGATAATTTACACCGCCATTCAGAAATACATTTTTGAAAAAACAAATATTCCTGCAATGTCTTGGACCGGGGGCGGTGGGGTAGCCTAGTGGTTAAAGGGTTGGCTCGTCACGCCGAAGACCCGGGTTCGATTCCCCACATGGGCACAATGTGTTAAGCCCATTTCTGGTGTCCCCCGCCGTGATATTGCTGGAATATTGCTAAAAGCGGCGTAAAAACTAAACTCAGTCAGTCAGTCAGTCTTGGACCGTGTGTGTGGTGTTGCAAACAATTTTCCAAATTTTCCATTCTTGACGACTAAAAATGCATGTACAGACATTACGTGTCAATGATGAGACAATCCAACTTGATATATTTATGGACTAAGCTAGGTATCCATGCAATACGCTTACGTAGTATCTGAATGGACTCGCGCCATAGGAAATCGGCATTAGATCCTGACTAGTACAAACAGACACACAGACATTCACATCGCAAAAAACAAAACAAAAACAAACCCATAGGCGGATCCAGAGGGGGGCTGCAGGGTGCGCCCCCCCTGTCCTGAAAGTTTATTATTAAATGACCATTGAAACTCGTGAAAATGAAATGAAGTGTGCACCCTCCTTTCTCAATAGTGTGCCCCCCTCTCAAAAGCTGTATCCGCCCCTACAACCTTTGTACTCTTGAATGAGGCGACCGCATCTTATATTAGTACCATGTCTATTTTATATAGGAAATAGTTGTAACGAATATGCTCTTGAAAACCGGAACTGGAAATAGCCGAGTTAACATGGCAGCTTTCCCCACGTGCGATTTCTTCAGATGTTGACATTTTCTCGCAATGCATTTTAGAATATAGAAACTGCCGCATTAGCGGCTTCTTGTGCGCAGGTAAGGACAATACTGGTACCAGTTAGTGTTTATGATCGTGGAATGTTGAATGTAAACGTTGCTTTTACGGACTCGTCTGACCCACGCGCTCGGCTTGCCTTGTTCCCGTATTTCTTATGTATCAATTTTCGTTTATGAGTTCTTGTTAACTTCAAGCTGATTGAACGCACTATGGTCTTTCAGTGAATGAAATAGTATTCATGACTTTGATTATCACTTACATTGATTAAGTTGAATATGCACCCTTTTTCGGATAACAGCGGGCGTTTTTAGGTATATTGTAAATCGTGCTGAAACACAGTCACAGTAGTAGTCTCAGACGAGCGGCGCAGGTGTGATGAGACTGTCAGTATGTCATGGTGACGTCCAGTCATACCTTCGGTCCCCATCGCACCTTTCCCCAAGTCGCGTCTATGTTCTAAGTAAATCTCCAACATCAGAAGTGTGAGGGAGTAAGACCTATGTGGCCTATAGGGAGTACTGCACTTTACCGGGCGCACTTTTTCAGATTAATTAGCGCTGCTGGGGTTCCTAACCCTAAGGATCGTAAAGGGTGGCATACCCTAAACCCTAACCCTAAGGATCGAAAAGGGTGGCATACCCTATACCCTAACCCTAAGGATCGTAAAGGGAGCAGCGAGGGCTGCGCCCGGTAAAGTGCATTCTAGCCGCCCTCTATATCCTTTAGCATCATGATCGAGAATTTTGCCAAAATGTTTTGTGGTCTAATTTCTTACGCATTACTTCAGACGCGTTTCTGTGTGACATGCCAAATTTCCCTGTCTGTGATCAGGCAGTCACGCGAATGAGTGACCCCCTCTCAGGTAGTTACTTGTACTCGTAACGGGGGACCGTCTTGTGTACAGGTTACGTCCTCTACTGATTACCTAAACAGATGAGTTGAACTCATGTAATTTAACTATGTCTGCCTAAACACAGGACCACGTAACTAATGTCCCATAATATCAAACTGATGTAAGAAGATAAACTATTACTTGGGCTGAAGGGGTCGTCGACACAGGTACTACAGATGTGTACTCCAGGTACATTTCTGTATGCAGAAAAGTACCCCAAAACAAAGTCAATATACAGAAACGTACCTTGTACCCTAAATGGCGGATTAGTCCTATTCCTCAACCTAAATCAGAAACAGTATGTAGTTGTACCTGTTCGCCTGATTGCAACAGCAAGTGGTATTGTGCAATATTTGTTTCTGTCTAAGCTGGTTTCTTATATCAATCAAATGCATCTCATACAGCCGTATGACGGTTCCAATCAAGGAAACAACACAATGTGGAATGGATTCGTCTTCGGGTACCTTTCTGTTTCTTGATTATGGTTAGGGTATGTTTCTGGGTATATATCTGTACTGCCCATACCAACAACCCCTTCAACAATACTTGGGGAATATAAGCCACAGACAACATAAAATGTGACAAGACATGATTGGACACTATTCAGAGTACCCAGTACCATTTCAAGGTTGGAATTCTCATTAGGTCTACAGTAAAATCTATGCTGTATCTTGTCAGTTGACAGTTTCTGTTGTGTTACTACTTAAGTTGACTAGAAAGTTTCTTCTACTTACTCTATCTAAATGACTCAATTTTGTAGTGGTGGTTATGAGGTTTCCTTAATAAAGAAGAACACATATATAATTTTTAAAACATGGGTAAAGTTATATGGAATATGTCTAATAGCATTGAAATGCAAATATCCAAAGTTGAAATCAGTATTTAGATCTTTAACATCCAGTTCCCAGATTGGCTGGAAGTGGGAATTCCAATATGTAGTGATTCATGAATCTGCAAATATGAAGTAGTCCTGGCCACTTGCTGTATATTTTTGTCAAATCGCGAATAGTGAACTATTATTACAAACTAAAATAAGTGATCCCTTTGAGTTTGCTACAACCATAGTTTACTACCGCCATTGAATGTGATTTTGTTGCTTCTCTGAGAGGTCCAACAAAGATATGAGTATGCCGAACAATACCCAGAACAAGCATTATGCTTATGCTAATGGATTTCATTATATAAATGCTTAAAACCAGAATAATTTTTCGCCCTCTTCCCCATCAAACGGATATGCATTGATAACTGTTTGTAACTGATCTGAACACAAATCTCTCTCATGTGGGGATGCCCCATTTGGATAATATTGCTGACCAATTTGGTGAAAAGGCACTAAGCTATTTTAATAGACACTGATTTAATACTGTACAGCACACCGATAGGTACTGCATTACTGTATTCACTAATTCATGAAGATCTGGGTTAGAATAAATGATTGATCTTCAGTAACCCATACTTGTCGTAAGAGGGGGACTAACGGGATCGGGTGGTCAGGCTTGCCGACTTGGTTGACACATGTCACTAGATACCAATTGCTTAGATCGATACTCATGCTGTTGATCACTGGATTGTCTGGTCCAGACTCGATTATTTACAGACCTCCGTCATATAGCTGGAATACTGCTGGGTGTGGCATAAAACTCACTCACTCACTGACTCGCTGAATGTGTGGTTCATTAGCCACTGTGTGCACTTTGTTTCAATAAGCTCTGAACACTGTATGTTTGATTTGTTACAGAGTTCAGCAACTGTTCTAAGTGTGCATCATGGCTGTGAGTTCTATGGACAGTTTTGAGGAAGACAACAAGTTCTTTAAGGGTTTGTTGGATATGGTACCAGCCCGTGTTCTTCTTGATGAAGAAACAAAGAGGAAGATAAGGGGAGAAGAGGAGGAAGAAGAGGAAAGTTCAAGTCAGCATGGTCAGTGTAGCTGTTTAATTGAAAACTAAAGACATGCAACAGGAAACATCAGGAGTATCTTGAGTCAGAGGCCCAGATAAGCTGCGTATCCGGGTAAAATATGCATAGAAAATTTCCAATTACGCATTGAAAAAATAATTGTTGCGTAGCAATTACGCATTTAAAATGTTAGATACGCAAAAATTTTGAAACAAATGCGTACAGAATATATTTATAAAAATCGTTTGCGTAATGAAAAGACATCGATTGCCATCAAGTTGTACTGTTAGTATAGGACAAGTGTTGTACTGTCAGTATAGGATGAGTGATTTTTTTATGAAATCATTTCCATCATATTTAAGTTGGTTTTGATTAGGTATGACATAAGGCAGAACATACCTGCTTAGTAAACTTACTCAATGACATATACTTAGGTGAGTAAAATGACTGAAATACGCACATATTTGAAAGCAGTGGGTAACGGAAAATGAAATACCCACTCAACATTCATAATACCCACTCCAAAAAAATACAGTGGGTACAGTACCCACATGAGCTAAATCTATCTGGAGCTCTGTTGAGGATTCAATATCGAAATAGGCCCCCTGAATGATTGTTTGTTTTGATCAGAAACCTTCTGATTATATGATGGCAGCCTGTAAATAAACAAGCATGGACCTGACAATCCAGAAAATGATATTATCAGCACCTATCTAGCAACTGAGATATGATGATATGCATCCAACAAGCCTGTGCGCTTAACAACCTGATCATGTTCCTTGTTCTGCTTAAAACAAACATGAGTTGCTGAAGGCCAATGGTAACCCTGATCTTCACAGGGAGGATTCTCTTGAATCCTTGTCCAGGATTGTTTCTTAGCAAGCTATACAGTTTAATTACATTTTATTTCGCAAAAGAACAAGACATGCATACATTTTATAGGTGAAACAGTTCAAGATTCGCCTCCCTTGGCTGTGTGAGGATCTGCTGATCATGGGTTGCTATACCATCTTTGCGCCTATTTGTATTGTTGGGTCTGTTCTTACCCATCACAAGTACTTGTGAGTTTCACATCAAGTAGTACATGTCTACCATTGTCCACCTGAGGTGGTAGGGACCTCCCTGCGACAGTAGCAGGGATGCCAAATGTAAAGCCTTTGGTGCAATAGCTGCCATAGGTACACTTCTGGCCTAAAATTTTGCTGTCATGCTTCCTCTCCATTCTATGATATTTGTCCTTTCTTTCATGAATTACATGGATTTACAGGACGCAAATTCCTGTGTCCTATACACAAAAATTGACAATGGACTCAGTGAGATTTAATAGCACGTCCTCAGGGACGCAGAAAAAGTCTAACTGTTTTTGTAAAATTTCAATCGGGTAAAAATAAGTTATCACTGAGTTTACTAGTAGCTGGGTTTTGATATTTCCAATTTAATTACTGTAACAATGTGATGATCATGATACACAATACAATAACAGTATTAATTATAATATTTAAGTGTATGGGATCCCCATTTTGTAGCCCAGGACCCCCTGAAAATTAAGAGTATGAGTCCCAGGGACCCTCAAATACAGGACTCAAGGGTAATCCCTGGAACTATATACGTGGATTAAATGTCCCACAAAGCAAATTGTTAATACACCTGTGAAGATCTGGTATAGAATTACGACAACGGGATCGGGTGGTTAGGCTTGCTGACTTGGTTGATACATCACTGTATCCCAATGGCTTAGATCGATGTTCATGGTGTTGATCACTGGATTATCTGGTCCAGACTTGATTATATACAAGCCGCTGCCATATAGCAGAAATTGTGTTTGTGCAGCATCAAACAACAAACACAACTTAATGCATTGATGAAACGAGGCATTCTGCAGTGAGACTATACTTACCAGTGAGTTTCATGCTTTCAATCCACACAATCTCAAAGTTTTCATTACTCTGAGATGCAGGGTCGTTCATATGCTGATTAGTATGGTAAGGACTCGCAAGTACTTGTTTGCAGTACTCATATCTGCAATAGGCTTTTCCATTTCATTTTACTGAAATACTGTTGAAACTGACTGAATATGGGGAAGTTGAAGTTTGTTATATGAACTTTTATTATAGGCTCAAAAAAGAAAGGGAAGCAGGAAAAAAAGAGGAAAACTAAAATTGACCCGTTGCAGAGAAAAACAGTTACCCAGCTGCAGGAAGAACTGGAACAGAGAGAAGGACAGTCATGTAAGAGTTACCCCCCTTATCCCACAGTGTTTTCATAAAGTCTTGGGATTGTTAAGAAGGAATTAATGAATGAGTTTCAGAATGACATAAGAACATAATAAAGACAAGAAATCATGACACAAACTTAAAAGGACCAAAATGAAATGAAGTTGCCTTTACTTTGTCAAATACCACGTCTCTGTAGTAATCTTTTGTAAAATAGTTTCAGCAAACATGCCACCTGAAAATGATTTTACCCCAAAATGTTGCTGTTTTTGCAAAATTATTATATTTCTAGAACACGCGCTGCACATGTTTTTTGGTTTATTTTTCCAGAATTGTTTCAGATACAGCTTTGTTACATATTATATATATTTGACTTAGTGAATTTCTTTTTGTGTCACAGGTTTTATTTTCTTATTTCATTTGCAGTCACTCAGCTGAAAAAGAGTAAACACAAGAAAAAGCAGCCAGGCACTGACCCAAAGTTCCGTAGCATCACCCATGACCTTGAGGAGCTGAGGTCACGGCTACAGGCTCGTATCTCCGAACTCTCAGGTAGAGAATCCCTGCATTGCAGAGTCTGGACAGTGGTCACCCTGTGTGTCCTTTTCTGTACTAGGGAGTGGGGTGGGTGGGGGTGGGGATGTTCATCATTCTGTAGGGCTAGGGGAGGTGTCCTTGACCACCATAGGGCTGGGATGATACACTATGTCACGATACGATACGTATCGCAATATTTTACCTGTGCTACGATATGTATCACGATACATACACCTTAAAAGAATGACCCAGTATTAAAGGTCACATGCAACGTAAAACACAACTTTGCAGATTCTGATACCTTTTGGTATGGACTTACCAAAACAAATCATCAAAAATGCAAATCAACTTATAAAGTTGAAAAATAACGCAATGAAAAAAACAGTGTGAAATCGGAGTTCAAACGATTCACTAATTTTCCCCAAGCGCTTGGGCAAAATGTGGTTTCCACAGCTAGGCTGCTCTCATAGCACATGCGCAGTGAAATAGATTCGTGCAGCTTGGAAGCGAGTTGTCCGGTGAATACTCGGTGATGGCTTTGGTGTGAGCTATTTTTCTAATGTCTTGTTGATATTTCACAGGCGCGAGCTTTTTATATGTTATGACAGTAGATTACCAATTTAACTGTTTATATAATTTCATTTGTTTATTTCACCACACGTTCTTCTTACCGAGTCACTTTCTCAGTTCGATACTTAAAAGCAATGTCATTATGTAGCGTTGAAAGAATTTCTAACTGTGATATAGACATGTCTTTGTCACAGACAAAACTCAATGTCTGTTTTACTGACACCTATGTGTCTGCCTGCCTGTCTGCTAATGACAATGTTCAATACACAACTTCGATCACTGACCACATGCAATTTGAACTTAACACCAATCAGGCTATACACCATAAAACAAAACGCCCGAGTTTGGGCTCTGTCACATTATGTAATTATACAGACAGGCAGGTGTGATACTTGTACACATGACATGTTATGATGTCTGTTGGTTGCAAAATGTTATACACAAAAAATGAGCATGTATTTACAAAACCCAACATCTCTATATATACACACACACAATGAGCCGTGAGGGCATCTGCAAATGAACCAGCCGTTACACTTGAGTGCACACCCACCCGCTCTGACTGGGTTCGGTATCCCGGCTGCTTCGTTTCTTGGGAAGTAAACCCAAATACAAAATATTGCACTTTTGATTTGCGATTGTACGCTTATGGTTTTGTTTATATGTTTTTTCATAACCAGCAATGTATATTATATGTCATGAATAAGTGATAATTGTGTTTTAATTATGTTTGATTTCTTGGTTGCATGTGACCTTTAAGATTTAAAATTTCTTTATTTCAAGGTATTTGTGTATAACAATAACACTATTGTAGTAAACAAGCAAGTAACTCTATCATACTTGCGTATTTTTCTATAAATAAGTACTTTAACATGTTTAAGATAATATTGTTTTGAAAAAAAGTTGTGTATCGATACACCAGTTGACAATACGATAGCTGTATCAAACTTAAATGTATCGTGATGTATCGGTGCATCGTCCCAGCCCTAGTCCACCATGGGTTTATGTTCCTTGTAGTTTGCAGTCACTTTGTAGCTGACTGTTAAAACAGCTATATTTGTAATTGTTTAATGTAACAAGTATTAATGTAAATACAAACTGCAATCCTAACGGACATTTGTTCATTTTTGGATAGTCATAGGCCTGGAACCAGCTGTTTGTGACTTCCTCTGCTGGCTGTGCATGCTACAAGTGTACTTGATTTAATGATATAATTTGTGAACCTTCTGTGTAAAGGAAGCACTATTTTGCCTCCAGTAAAACCCAGGCCAACACCCTGTCATGTATACAGTGACACATTTCCTACAGAAATAGTGACTTTTTATTCTTGTTTCCATAGGGAAGAAGAGCAAGCTGACTGACAATGAGTCGAAGGAGAAGATAAGGCTCATGAAAAAGAATAAGAAGTTGAAACTTAAGTTAAGAAATGCACAGAAGCAGAATAAACACAAAGGTGAACACAGGCAGCAGACAAACTCTGATGATTCCCCGTCTCTGTCGGAGCCACTGATGGTCTCCGAGAAACCTGTGTATAACAAGGAGGGGAAACTTGTCTTCAGTAAGTTTGATTTCACAGATTCAGGGGAGGTGGAAAATCCAAAGACAGATTTACGGGCCAAAAATTATAAAAGACTTTTGGAAAAGCTAGAAAAGCGTAAAAAGAGTGCTGAGGAGGTGCGTGAGAAAAGTGTTGATGCTGCACAAAAATTGGAGGACAAGACATTGTGGAAGACAGCTTTGTTAAAGGCAGAGGGAGAGAAAGTTAAGGACAATGAGAAACTACTGAAGAAAGCAGTGAAACGGAAAGAAAAAGATAAACAGAAGCGTCAGAAATCCTGGGAGTCACGGACTCAGCAAGTAGACCAGGACAAGAAGAAGAGGCAAGACAAGAGGAAGTTCAATCTGGACGCAAGGAAAAAACAAAAGATTGAAAAGAAAAAGAAAAAGTCTGTTAAGAAGGGCAGACTCATTCCAGGGTTTTGATATTGTATATTTGTACATGAAAATAAAAATAAGTTGTACATATTCAATTTTGCTGTTTTTGTTTTGTTATTTTTGAAAGGGTGAAATACAAGAAAAATGTCTGCCTTGTTCTGTTAAGCTGTGTAGGAAATAATGGTCATCTTATATGTGCAAGAAACAATGGCTCTTTTGTTTTAGTAAGCTGGATAAGAAAGGAGGAATGTCTTGGGTGCCGTTGTACAAAGCGATCTTAGCTCTAAGGTGACCGTAACTTCCACACCTTAACATAGATTTAAGGTAGTCTTAGCGCTAAGGTGACCGTAACTCCCATACCTTAACATAGACTTAAGGTAGCCTTAGCGCTAAGGTGACCGTAACTCCCATACCTTAACATAGACTTAAGGTAGTCTTAACGCTCAGTTTGTTTTGTACAACAGTACCTTGGTCTGTAAAACCAGGTATTTTAGTCCTTGTATTTCAACTGGGTAAGGAGCAAGTTTGGTGGTTTGATCCCCAGGTAGCAGCATACCAATTAACCATGAAAGATGGTGCTCGTGGCAAAAAAGATGGTGATATGTGTCATGTATAACAATAACGATAATGTGTCCATTTCTCATGCGCATTGCTCCATGCACAATGCATGCTCAAAGCGCCCAAACAATCTGATTATTATTACCCTGGATAACTCAAGCTGCCTGTTAGGCGCTAGAGAGTTATAGTCATATTTTCTGCTGGGTGAAGAGAGGCAATTTTGAACAAACTCACATGAATCACATGTGCTTTGTTGTGGGGTAGGACCAAAGTCCTACTCTCAGGCAGGCAGACACATAACTCTCAGGAGTCAAATTGCCAAACACGGTCACCCATCCAAGGACCCATTGTTGTTTAACTTCATCTGATTTGTGACCTGAGCTCTATGCACAGGACCACACACCATAAATGTTAACCTGTGCATGAGTGACATGATCCTAACTTGTCTCAAAATGCTTACCCTTGTTTTATTAATGTCATCTCCACAGAAATAACACTAGTTTTTTCCTCTTTTCCATCAGTGAATCCAATTTTCATTATGACCACCTTGCCAGCCATATTGTAAAGCTAGCTATGACCATTCCACATTTCTGGTCAGTATTAAATGAGGTTTGGTACACATGTAAGAGGGAGTTAAAATTAAAGACACATTGGCAGTGTTGTAGCTATGTAGTTGTGGTACAGCTTCCAGGGAGAAGCAGGCTGTATGTGTCATTTTAGTGATTTTCATAACATGGACTTTGCGCTTAAATGCTTTCATAAAAAACATTTGTCTGTGTAAGCTTTGGACATTCTCCCGATTGGAGGAGGTGAATAGAAGTGTGATGTTTTTTGTGTGAAGATGGCATATTTTGTTCCATGCATTGGATATGTTGGTTATAGTCTTCGGTAGTTTCACACATTGTACCCTTGTGGGGAATCGAACCCAGGTCGTCAGCGTAACGAGCGAACGCCTTAAACACTAGGCTACCCCCGTTCCTTTAGTCATAAGAAAACAAAATTGCATTTTTTATCACACTTGAATGTGTTGTTGAGTTTGGCTGGTTCTTGGATAAATTATCAACGGCAGATAACTCCTGTGTCCCTGTCACTGCGCATCACACAGGAACAACCTCAAGGATGTCAATTTTCAAACTGATCAATTCAAACCCTCCATTCAATGACGCAATATTAAGTATTCCGCTGAAAATAGATTTTTCTGTTGCCACCCCTCCAACCTGGACTTCTGTCAAAACGTCAGCCTGGATACTGGTTTGACTTGTCACGACCCCATAGAGGTCAGAGTCGGATATTGTCTTCAACAACCACTGGAATGAGTCTAACAAGAGATGGTGGGTGCATTGACTGATGTTCGTGATGTCGCATGGCAGAAAGTCTGGTCCAGAGTTGATTATTAACATACCGTCCTTGCTGGATAATTGCTGAGCGCTGCGTTAAACCCCAAGAGAAACAAAACTTGGGAGGTATTAATATAATATATATTTCCTAAAATTCGTAATTATGTGGACAAGTCCAGTAATAATGTATGAGAGTCATTTGATAATGGCAAGACATTTGAGTGAATCCATGATGGTTTCTGTCTGTTGGCACTTCAAAATCAGCGATACGATAATTTTACCCTGGCTCTAGGTCAGATATAATTTGTATTTCTGTCACAGAAAAGTCCAAACTGGCAATACATTTAAAAAATGTGCACAATAGGTAATTAACAATTACATGACATCAGTTGTGCTCATACGATAATTGTGCAGAGGACTACTACGCCTTGACCATGTGTTAGAAACAGAGAAGAGACATATAGTATATGACTACCCTTACTATATAAAATCATCCTTTTATATAGTACTAGGGTAGGGTCTATGTACCTATATGTCTTTCTAACGCTGTTTCTAAGCGTGACACGCCCCTGTGGTCTTGACTAGTTCTGGCCTTCCTTGCAATGGTTGACCCTGTCTCCTTCACAGTACAGAGTTGCGCCCCTTTTCGACCGCTGGAATCCAACACTCCCCTGGTTGTTTCCTGGTGTGTCGGCACCATACCCGTACACGTCTTGGGTGGAGGTGTAAAACTGCTTCACTCCACCCACATGACGCTTACAAACCATAATCTAAAGCGAAAGATGGAAAGAAAGGTGTGAGTAATATTCTGGATATTTTATTCAGTCGGTATAAAAGTGTTGTTTGTACATGATACAAAATAAGAGGAAATTATTTACAATATTCTTGGTCAGATAGTAAATATATTAAATATTGAAACACTGTGCAGCATTTTCCAAGCCAAGTAGCAAGACACCTGTTCTCACTCTTACCAACACTGGCCATTGAAAACAAAACTAAAATGTCATTTACTTATACACCTCGTGTCATCCTATTCCTATAAACGAAGATCCGGATTAGAATTGACCTCCAGAAACGTACGCTTGTCGTAAGAGGAAGTTGACGTCATCGGGTTGTCAAGCTCGCTGACCTGGTTGACTCGTGCCATCGTATCCCTACGGCGTATATCGTTGCTCATAATGTCAGCTACTGGTCGTTCCCAGACAGAGGCGACAATCTGGGTCGTTCCCAGACAGAGAGGCGACAATCTGGGTCGTTCACAGACAGGGAAACCGCAATCTGGGTCGTTCACAGACAGGGAGACCACAATCTGGGTCGTTCCCAGACAGAGAGGCGACAATCTGGGTCGTTCACAGACAGGGAAACCGCAATCTGGGTCGTTCCCAGACAGAGAGGCGACAATCTGGGTCGTTCACAGACAGGGAAACCGCAATCTGGGTCGTTCACAGACAGGGAGACCACAATCTTGGTCGTTCCCAGACAGGGAGGCCTCAATCTGGGTCGTTCCCAGACAGGGAGACCACAATCTGGGTCGTTCACAGACGGAGACCACAATCTGGGTCGTTCCCAGACAGGAGACCACAATCTGGGTCGTTCCAAGACAGGGAGACCACAATCTGGGTCGTTCCCAGACAGGGAGACCACAATATGGGTCCTTCACAGACGGGGCGGTGGGGTAGCCTAGTGGTTAAAGCGTTGGCTCGTCACGCCGAAGTCCCGGGTTCGAATCCCCACATGGGTACAATGTGTGAAGCCCATTTCTGGTGTCCCCCGCCGTGATGTTGCTGGAATACTGCTAAAAGCGGCGTAAAACCAAACTCAGTCAGTCAGGCAGTCCTTCACAGACGGAGACCACAATCTGGGTCGTTCACAGACTGGGAAACCGCAATCTGGGTCATTCCCAGACAGGAAGATCACAACCAAGGTCATTCCCAGACAGGCGGCCTGCGATTTATATAGGTCGTTCCCTTGCAGGTAGATCACAACCTAGATCGTCCCCAGGCTGGGAGACCACGATCTAGGTCGTTCCCTTGCAGGCGGATATACAAATATACACGTTCTCCGACTTGCTGACCAGAATGTTCCCCGACATAAGGTCATGTACATCATCATGTACATAGACATTCCTCATGGCGCAGTTTGCATGACCTTCACATATACATGTTATCAGAACACATGAACCATATTGTTTGAAGTATATTTACATAAGTCAACAGTATTGACGATGAATTGACAGTCTCGCATAACATCTTGCAAGATGTTCTTAGACGAGCCATTTTTATATTTGGTCAAGGCTGTGTTTACACAAATAATGCGCTTAAGGCGACACAACGTTGGTTTGAGTCAACCAAATGCAACATTGTAATCTTTGCCGTGTGCAAACGCATTTAAGGTGTTTCTGTCATTTCACATTGGGAATGAACATTGATGTATTGAATCTGCAGATACGGTGTTCTCTGTTCCAGCCTAGTCGTAAATGAATTACAAATATGTACATATTTACATCACAAACATGGAGCTACCAACAAAGTGAGTAGGTTTAGTTCTACACCGCTTTTAGCAATATTACAGCAATATCACGGCGGGGGACGCCAGAAATAGGCTTCACACATTGTGTCCATGTGGGAATCGAACTCGTGTCTTCCGCGTGACGAGCGAACGCTTTAACCTCTAGGCTAACCCATGAGCGCTGTTAGGTCATATAAAAATAATTTATTGTTTCCCATTACCTCCCCAACCTAAAATTTGGCCCGACCCTAATTTGTATTTTTTTTTTAAATTTATTTTTCACTGGTACATTTGCGTGTATAAAGCCGGCAGACTTCCGAAATCCGTCTCAGCTTCCGATATTCCAAGTTTTACACTAACATTGTATAGAAAATCAGAAGAAAAAATATTAAAAAATAAAAGTAAAATCCGCCCTACCTTCCCATGTTCTTTTATAAAAAGGGATGAGAAACAAGAAATGTATTTTATGTGGTCTTATAGTGCTGATTTTTGGGACTTCTAAGGGATGCAACTCTGAAACTCTGCGGCACCCGAGACCACTGGGGCTCCCTGCCATGCACATAACGAATGTTACAAGTGCGGTTATTTAGTTGGCCAAACTAGTTTAGAAAATAGAAAGAAAAACAGTCACAGTCATGACCGGTTAACTATAATCATATGAAACAAACGGGCGATGCTAACTACCTTTGAGTCATAGTCATAATTTTCTTTTTAACTAATGCAACAATAAATTAGAAAATATACAAATTTAAAGACATATTCACAGGTAGACAGCTTACGGGCATGTTTTAGTGAGACACGAAGAAGGGTGATGTCAGCTGAGAATATATACACACATGGGGTTACATATAGGAATGTTCGCCAGGCGTTCATCAAACAGATTTGATAGAAGCATCGTCAACCTTTTCCAATTCTTTGGATTTTTTAGACAACTGAGAACTGCAGGATCCGCTCTTGGACAAGTGGCCATCGGTCAGTGGCTGGGAGAGCTCAGGAGCAACCGGAGCGCAGAGGCTAAAGAGTGGACCCTGAAAATATACAGTGTATGAGTGAGGCTGTTATACAGGTATCAAGGCGTGTCATCTAAATTTGGATGGAAGAGGCCGACGTGATATACCTGTACCACGTGATGCAGCCGACGTTTACAGGTATTGCGCTGCGCTGACAAACATTGAAAACACAATCAAGGCTAGCCGGGATTCGAACCCGTTCTGTAAGGAAGCAACTCCATTCTACCCGTGAAGGTCCGGGTTAGAATATTGATCTTCAGTAACCCATGCTTGTTGTAAGAGGCGACTAACGGGATCGGGTGGTCAGACTTTCTGACTTGGTTGACCACATGTCATCACATCCTAACTGCGCAGATCGATGCTCATGCTGTTGATCACTGGATTGTCTGGTCCAGACTCGATTATTTACAGACCACCGCCATATAGCTGGAATATTGCTGAGTGCGACGTAAAACTAAACTCACTCACTCACTTATATTGGCAAAACCCTCACATTTTTGCTGTGACCTTGCAAATTATCTCAAGGTCACTCAATATAACTGGTGTCGGTGAATCTCGCCAATACACCTTGGTACCAAATGTGAACAAAATCCATCATTTCTTGCTTGAGTTATCGTCTTAACAAGCTTATACGATGTATGAAATGCAACGAAAAACAAACACACGCGTATTTGCGAATGATTAAAACTGTTATTACAATTTACGTAGATATTTATTACATTTTACCGCAACTAAAATTATTACAATTTACGTCAATTTTTATTACAATTTACGTCTTTATTACAATTTACGTCAAATTTATTACAATTTGCTGCAAGTATTACAAATTGCGTTTTTATTACAATTTACGTTTTTATTACAATTTACGTCAAATTTATTACAATTTGCTGCAAGTATTACAAATTGCGTTTTTATTACAATTTACGTTTTTATTACAATTTACGTCAAATTTATTACAATTTGCTGCAAGTATTACAAATTGCGTTTTTATTACAATTTACGTCGTAACACTGCCGCCCTATAGCTGGACTATTGCTGAATGCGGCGTTGAGCAACAAACAAAACAAAGTCAACACTACACAACAAATTGCAGCGCCTCTGATGACTGAACCATCCATTTGGCGAATCTAATCAGTTCAAGGCTTTTGTATGATCCTTATGATGGTAATGTCGATATTAAGTGTGTATGATTTTATGCCACTTTTAGGAACTCTTCCATCAATATCACGGCGGCGGACACAGGAATGGGCTTCAGTCATGGCGGGTGTCGGGCCCTCTTCGTGATGAGTTAACACTTTAATCCCATCGCCCCTGATTTTGAACTATATTTCAAACTACTTTTTAATTTTGACACTACTATACCCCAGTTCCTTAATAACGTAGGCATAGTTGCAGATATTATGTGCAGACTACCATCGCAAACTGACTGAGTTTGGTTTTACGCCGCTTTTAGCAATATTCCAGCAACATCACGGCGGGGGACACCAGAAATGGGCTTCACACATTGTACCCATGTGGGGATTCGAACCCGGGTCTTCGGCGTGACGAGCCAACGCTTTGACCACTAGGCTACCCCACCGCCCCCCATCGCAAACAGTCAGTATCGCTACGTATTACAATTTGACAGAATAACATTAATGGACTCCAAAAGCTGTGCTGTACACTGCTCAAGTTCCCTTAAAGCAAAATCGACCTTTCGTTCAATGTTACAGATTATAAGAACAAACCTAGCAACAACACAGACGACATTGTAACATAGTTTCATATATTGATAAAGCCGCATCCCCATTTCCATAGTACCGTTTTCTATTGGGCTAATAAGTCAGAAAAATCCCAAAACTATTCATGCGTATCGAAGAGTAATAGCTGTTCAGACGAATCTATGAAACGTATCTCTCCGACTGATTACATTGTCGACGGCGTGGAAGTATCACCACGGATGCCGCAGTTGCTGACGACGTGGGCGTTGATGTGAGAGGATGTCCGTGTGTCTATATCTCGTCTGGTTCGTACGACATCTGACACAGGGGCACTTAAGGTAGTGATTGATGTCTCTAAGAGGCATTTTCGGAAGACGCAAAACACTCGGTATATTGCCGTTATAATACCAAGGGTCAAACTTTAGTGTTCACTGCTATTTCTGATGATTATATTGAGTGACTGAGTGAAAATGCGGGTGTATGCGGGACATTTTCATTTACAAAACATCCAGAAATGATCTCCAACCCTGCGTTGACTTGTGATCCCAACATGGATCCCTCCCCTCAAGAAAAGCTGTATCCGCGTTGAGGTCCATCGCCCCACCCCACACATCTCTCACCTGTACAGGTATTCCCTCCGACTCCTGTAGCCCTTGTCCCTCCGACTGATCCTGTTGGACCTGACCCGGAGGAAGCACATGATGGACATGACGACGACGGGGAAGAGGAAGATGAGGATGATGATGTAGTTGGCGACGGCGGTGGGTTGGTTGAAGTCTGACACTGCAATCATTCCACAGAGACAACACTAGAATTGTTAACACCGACATGATGCCTCAATGCGTGGAGGAGACCAGGCAACCCTGTGGAGGTCGTAGAAGAAAAATACATTTTGGAAAGCAGTTTAATGGCGCAGCCTTTATTGTTTACATTCGGAGCTGGTCGGCCCTTCTATGGATGTCCCCAGCCTTCGTGTGAAGGAAGCCATTTCATTTGAATAACATTGATCCCATGCTAAAGAGGAAATAAGCAATGAACGTCTTAGAAATGGTGTCCATATACGATAAAAAGTTTCGGGGATTGATGTGGTGGGATGCCAGTGCGTGCATGTGTCTTTGTAAGTGTGTGTTTTGTGTGTGTATGTGTATCGGTGTGTATGTGTGGCGTTTTATGTGTGTGCGCGTGCGTGTGTGTGCGTGGGTACGTGTGCTAAGGTGTTACCCTATTGGTGTAGGCTGTCTGTCGTCACGCCCGGGTTCGGGTCACCATTAAAATATGAGACCAATAATCAGATGCTCCCTAAAATTGATTGATGAATATTGCTGAAGGCGGTTGTGAATCTCATTGACTCTAATAATGGAAAAACGATGAAAAGGAAATATATGTATCTACTCATGTATGGTTGAAGAATCAGCGTTCATGTATATATGTACACATGTAATACTAGTCGTCAATATCTTGTCTGTACAGGTCAAAATATCATGCATAAAACATAACACACAGACACACCGACAGCTTCTCGGAGAGTGTTCAATGGTATTTACATACTGTATGTTTTAGCCTGATTGCACGGGTGATATTCTGTCACAGAGCATTGGTGGATCCGGGAAGGGATCGGGGATGGGATGGGGGTGGCGTAGGGGGGTAAGTGCATATTGATATTAGTAAACGCAACAAGTCTTACCTAAGTGAAAACATACATTTTAGGTTAATGGGTCAGTGGGGTGCCAAAGTGATTTGAACTAGCGGAATCACCTTACACTGCGACAGACACAAGTAAATCAAATATACGATAGCTGGAACCTGATACAGATCCAGGTTGATACAGGTCATGTAATATCACAATCAATATACATTATAGAATTATTTACACACTAACAGGAAATGGCTTTTGTGTTTGATAAACAAACGCAGGTCGAACACAACTGGAAAACTGAAATATATCCTTCATAATATTCATTTAACTTGACTTGTTTCGTGCACTGTCTTAATTGGACATCATTACCTGTGTGGTAGATCGGCTGTATTGTTCGTTGTTTTGCGCCACACTACACTATTCTACCTATATGCATATATCTAAATCTAAGACATGCAATATGATGAAAAAACGCCATCGGCCATGACGACACACGTCTCCCAGCCACACCATCCAATCCGCTAACTCGCCGCCTTCGACCAGGATAGATTGCTATGGACTATTCTAAATATGAGGTCGAGGCCGTAATCTCATTCTAATATTTCATTCTTATGTTATATTTTGTCATTTTTTGTTGTTTTACGCCACAACTAGTAATATTCAAGCAATATAACAGCGGTCTGTAAATAATCGAATGTAGATCAGATAAGCCGGTACTTGATATTATGAACATGCAGTTAGTCACGTGACCGAGTCTGGCCATCGGAACCAATACAATCATTCGTAACTACTCGCCTCTTTCCGTGACCGGAATGACACGAGTAGTTACGAATGCAATACAATTGGTCACCCTACACTGTGATGGGCTCAGATTTCAACCCACCACGATACTATGATTCCCTGGACACCACAGACCGACTCTTTCTATGTTTAGTGAGTTGGGTTTAACGCCGCAGTTAACAGTGTGCATGTTATATCACGACGTGTCGCCTTGATGAAGGGAATACCTGCAGGCCTTACGCGTTAATACTTTGGTGACACCCATGATATGTTGCCTTGACAAACCCGTGAAGATCCAGGTTAGAATTGATCATATGCAACCCATGGTTGTCGTAAGAGGCGACTAACGGGATCGGGTGGTCAGGCTCGCTGACTGGGTTGATACATGTCATCTTAACCCAATTGCTCAGATCGATGCTTATGCTCTTGATCACTGGATTGTCTGGTCCAGACTCGATTATTTACAGATCGCCGCCATATAGCTGGCATATTGTTGAGTGCGGCGTAAAACGACAAACTGAGCCAAGAAACATATTCGGGGCTACACGGCATTCAGACACATGATCATAGATCTCTGGCGTCCCAGAGGACTTAACTCGTCACAGCAAATTACGGTGAATTTCAGATGTTGTTATATTTATTTGTATTTTATAGCTCCCAGATCTCGTCTTTTATACTGCTACGACCTGTCGAAAGAGCGGGAACTATGGATATGTATACAACTGTATATGTAAATACAATAGTTTATTGTTGTATGTGCTCTTGGCATTATATTCAAATATGTCTTATTCTTTTTTGTCCTTAATACATTGCTGAACAATCATGTGCTATTCATACTTCGTCTTAGTACTTTTTTGCTGTACACAAGTGAAATGTTCATAAATCATTGAACTATTTTGACTGGGAATCTGCAACAGACAGCCTCGTGAATATTAAAATGTCCCAACTCGACTTAAACCCAAATTAGTCCCGAGACGTTCTATAACTGAGAAAACGAAAAGGACGAGATGCACACACACCAAGTTTCATGCAATAGGCAAGGCGAGGGATTAAGAAATACCTACGTGTAAATGTTGACTGATTTCCACCACCATCTCCTGTAAACAAAAACAGATGTTGAGTAGAATTGTTTCATTTGGTATTTAAAACTTCTATTCTAAATAATGTCCGAGAAGGTCACATTGAATTCCTCTTCAATCATGGCCCTCTCCCTGTACTATTTATTCAATATGTAGATCACCGCATGGTAGCCATATTACCTTGCAATGGCCGACGTATCCGGGCAACAGAAGTAGCTCGTAAACAGTTCACTAAATGAATGTGAGTGCCAGTATGTGTAGATACTTGTGTGTGATATCAGATACTTTTTAAAGATATTTGCTTCTTAACGCATTTTACTCCAATTTGCAATGTTATTGCATTTTATAAATATAATGTCAACTGATATCTCAGATTATCTTAAACAATCAATCAAACAAATGGAACACACAAACATGTTTTCACAATGTCTCAAATGTTTTCACCAATTAGACAAAATATGGATGTTTTACCGTGTCATGATGACAGGAATCTGTTTGATTCTAATGGACTGAAGGCTATTAGTGCCAACCACATTTCATTCTACATAAATATATATAATTGTTGCAAGGAAGGAATCAAACCTATTATTGTTGCAAGGAGTGGAACCGCACAAAGACATTTAATAGTTCTGGTATATCGCCTCAGCACTAGAATCTTGGCACAGATCAATACAGTCCTTCACAGAATACAGCCTGTTGATGTCAAGGTTCCGAGCAGACCAGGCTGTAAGTCAGGTTTCTATTGAGCACAATACCGACCTACTTGTGACCCTGATATCGTTTACTGTTGCTACAGCATGTGGATGAATGTAGATGTTGACGTCCCCGAGTGCATGGGTAACTTAGAAAATAACTCGTTGTCTGCGAGGAATTCAGTATTATCGAGCATATGCATGTCAGTGAGATTCTTGTAATTACTGATTGAACTGTTTTTCTTGCAACCAAGATAACCACCAGGGCCTAGATTTTCGAAGTTCTCTTAGCGCCAAGATAGTCGTAATGTAATGTTAATGTATGGCACTTACGACTATCTTAGCGCTAAGAGAGCTTCGAAAATCTAGGCCCAGCAATCTTTCAACAAAATGAACTTCAGTGTACTCCCGTGGATCCCTTCATCATACCGGATGCTGTGATGGAGGGTTCGAATCTAACAGCCCTTGCATTTGATTCTTGATTGTTAGAACCACGCTGTTGGTTTTAAAGAGTAGCTGGGTTCTCCGTGAGCAGTTATCCTACCTATCCGAGTTGTGTTACATCCAGCTAAATCTAATAAAGCTGGTACAGAAGTAATGATGTTTAGTGATCGTATGTATTTTATCAAAAATAAAAAAACTAGAAATATATATGACGATGCAGCGTGTTCCTAACATAATCTGTATCTTCGTTTACTTAGCCTTCCTCTAATATAAGTTCTGGCAGATTTATCCATTCGCTTCCATTTAAGAATATTGAATCCCATGTCCACTCAAGCCAATCCCCAACACCGGCTGAGGCCGACTCAATAATTCATTGCTAATGGTCTGTGTTCTGTCTTTCAAGAAGGTCGTGCTAACAAGAGACATCCACATTGTTCTTAAGGACCAATAGTGCAAAGCAATCATATCGCTAAGGCTATTGTAGGTCTGTGTGAAAGTCTGGAGGTTATGGTAGTGCTGAGATCGGTTTGTGTGTGACGGGACATGTTCTGTAGCTCATCTGGTTGTGTCATAAAAGTACTTACAGCGACACAAACACGCAAGTTAATAGCCTTTTGTTTGCTGAGTTTAATATCGTTAATATCGATCCATTGTTAAGGACAAGTATCATCTTAAACACAATCTAATATATAGAGGATACTAAACGACCTTCCGTGTAATACCATTTTTATTAAACGAGTTAATGATTTGGTATCAAACGAGCGAAAGCGAGTTTGATACTGTTAGGTTCGTTAATTATTACCATTGATTGTTCCATACACAAATCACACAACATGTCGACTGGGTGACGACTGCGACAAGACTGCCGCCCTTTATTCCCTGACCTGCATACATTGCACGTGCAGCATGCGATAATGTTTGTGACGACTAATCATATAATAGCGTCAGGCTGCGGTAGTCTGATGACCTACAGTTTTAATGCAATTATTTTTAACAGTTATAACATCCGCCTCCTCTAAGATTTAAGTTACTTTGGATGTAGGCAGTCCTTAAACAAAATTTCTTATAATAAACTTAAATCTTATGAGTTTAACAGCAAAGGAATAAAGACTTGCTTCAAATTAAATGTCCTCTGTTTATACTGAAACTAGTAAAATAAAAAGTTAAAGTCCATCATTTAACTATATGTCACTGACAATGTCACTTTGACCTACACTAGGTCACACTGACTGACAAACAAGTTATTTTGACACAAAGTCTCCGAAATATGCTGGCGGTTGTCTCACTCTGGTTGAGCGTCGTAGCACAGGTGTGAGGAGGTAAGGATACTTCCGTCCCTCCTCTGGTAGCACAGACACATCTTGTGCTTCACTTGTAGCAGTTTCATGGTGGATATGGTGAGGGTCAGAAGCCTTGTTTCAGATGTGGTAAAACTAATCATAAGCCAAACTTGTGTTTTACAAGAATGAGAAATGTCATAACTGTGGCAAGAGGGACATGTTAAGCAAGTGTGTAGATCAGAGAAATCTTCAACTCAGAAATATACACGAAGTTCTAAACAGAAAGTGAATACTGTAAGGACTGAATCTGAAAACAGTGAGAATCCTGAGGATTTGTTTGAGAATTCTTTATTTCATGTTACCACACAGAACTTTCGGAGTAACTCCAAGCACCCTGAGCCATATTTCATCACTGTTAATGTTTGTAAACATTCCAGTAACATTTGAGATTGATACAGGATATCCAGTGACAATTGTAAATGAAGAAACTGCAAATAAACTTGGACTTGTGACATCAGTGTTGCAGGATAACTGTGTACCACTTACAAGTTACACCGGACAGGAAGTATAAGGTTTCACAGCTGTGGATGTTACATACCAAGGTCAATCTTATACACTACAAGTGGCCTTATCGCGAGGTACTGGGCCGAATCTGTTAGGCAGAACATGGATATCAGCAATGAACTTTGACTTGAGAGATTCTTCTGTGAGTTTTGTCCAAACTTCTACTTTGTCACTTCAAGATGTGTTAGATAAACATGCTGCTATTTTTGAAGAAGGTCTTGGGACATTGAAAGGGTTTAAAGCTCATATTTATGTGCATCCAGACGCTACCCCTAAGTTTTACAAAGCAAGATCAGTGCCGTATGCCCTACGTCAGAAGATAGACGTTGAACTAGATCGCTTACTCCAGGAAGGTATTATTGAGCCAGTGAAATACTCAGAATGGGCCTGTCCTATTGTTCCAGTGCTAAAGCCAGATTCAACTGTCAGAATCTGTGGGGACTTCAAACTGACAGTGAACCGTGCCTCAAGATTGGAGCAGTACCCGATACCTACCTTGGAAGACTTGTGTACTAGACTATCAGGAGGGCAGAAGTTCTCAAAACTTGATATGAGTCATGCATATCAACAGCTTGTGTTGATGAGGAGTCTAGGAAGTATGTTGTGGTCAATACACACAGAGGATTATTCAGATATACCAGACTACCCTTTGAGTTTCATCTGCACCTGCTATATTCCAGCGAATGATTGAAAACCTACTGCAAGGAATAAGACGTTCTGCAGGATACCTTGATGACATCATCAATTCAGGGATGAATGACAATGAACATTTGCAAGTCTTGGATCAAGTGTTGCAGAGATTGTCGGATGCAGGACTGCGCTTGAGAAAGGACAAATGTGTGTTCTTAGCTGATGAGGTGGAATACCTGGGATACAGATTAGACAGTGAAGGTCTTCACCCAGTGGAGAAGAAGATTTCAGCAATTCAGAATGCCAAGAAACCAGAGAATGTGAAAGAACTCAGAGCTTATCTTGGGATACTGAACTATTGAATGCCGAATCTACCAGACACACTCTCTCCCTTGTACAAGTTGCTCCAGAAGGATGTCAAGTGGAAATGGGGAAAGCCTGAATGCCAAGCATTTGAGAAGTCCAAGAGACTCCTACAATCATCAGATGTACTCATACACTTCGACAACAGCAAGCTTCTACTACTACAGTGTGATGCATCGCCCTATGGTGTTGGAGTGGCGTTGGCACACAGAGATACCTGATGGTACAGAAAGACCTATCAGTTTTGCTTCTAGGACACTATCTAAAGCAGAACAGAATTATTCACAGTTGGATAGAGAAGGCTTGAGTGAGATATTTGGACTTCGCAAGTTTCACAAATATGTGTATGGTAGACATTTCCAGATTGTTACAGATCACAAGCCATTGATGTCATTATTCAGTGAACATAACCCTGTGCCTCAGATGGTTTCACCCAGAGTGCAGAGATGGTCTATACTACTGAGAGCGTATTACTACACAATTGTGCATAAGAAAGGTACAGCTTACACCAATGCGGATGCATTGAGTAGGATTACCAGCTCCAGATACAGGTGAACCTAAACCTGAAATGACAGTACTCATGCTTCATCAACTTGAAGAAACACTACCCGTGAGATCTGAAGATATTCGCAAAGAAACGGAAAAGACAAAACATTGTGTCTTGTTCGCGAATATGTGATCCGAGGTTGGCCTGGACGAAGTAATCTTGAAACCTACTTAGAACAGTACTACAAAGTTAGAACTGAACTGAGCGTCATGGATGGATGCCTATTGAGAGGTTCAAGAGTAGTGATCCCTGCAACTCTCAGACCAGTGATACTGTCTGAACTTCACCAGTCACACCCGGAATAACCAGAATGAAAGGCCTCGCCCGTAGCTATGTATGGTGGCCTCATCTTGATACGGATGTAGAAAACATTGTCAACAGTTGCGACAGTTGTCAAGAAAACAGAAACTCTCCAAGCAACGCGCCTCTACATCCTTGGGAGTATCCTTCGAAACCCTGGCAAAGAGTGCATATGGACTATGCTGGTCCATTCATGGG